TGTTTTCTGGTAATGGCTAAGTAATTCAGACATCCTGTTGCAGACAATTAAAAATCTGGAGGATTTCTTTAATTCTTAAAAAAACCAAAGTTCTCAAAGGATACTGACAAATCATCAGACCAAGAATAGATTGAGGATTATAATTCAAAAACACTAAACAGGGATCCCTGAGTGGCTCAGTGGTTTAGAGCCTGCCATCGGCCCAGAGTGTGATCCTGGAGACCCGGGATCGAGTCCCTCGTCAGGCTCCCTGCATGGAGCCTGCTTCTCCCTCTGCTTGTGTCTCTGCCTCTGTGTGTGTCTCTCATGAATAAATAAATAAAATTAAAAAAAAAAAAACACTAAACAACCTTCCAGTGCCAGTCAGGACAAAGTAATCCCACTATAGCCTTTCTCTCCCACTGCTTACAACTAAAAACTCTGAATGAAATACATAAAGCACTACTTCAGGACTCTGAAAAGAAAGCAAAGGCAGGTAGGGTGGGAGAAAAAAGTAAAAATCTTGAAGTGACTCATGTGAAGTTTAAGTTTCCTGTTTAGTTTTTTTCTTTTCCTATCTCCCCTCCCAGCATTAGCCAAATGTAAGGCCCCAACAAAACTGTAACAGGAAACATGAGCAGCAAAAGGAAATCCGATTTTTTTTTTCTTCTTTTCCCTCTCATAGCCCTATCCCAAGAATGGCTCCAGAAGTAGAGCTGCAGCACCCATGGCAGCAAGGACAGATAAAACTCCAAGAAAAACTCAGTATTTCTAGCCAATGGGGAAAATGGGCCCCTGCGAGGCTGAGCATGAGGGGACAATCTTAGAGACAGCTCCAAAAGAGGATTACCTAATTATGTGCTTGAATTGACACAAGTCCCATGGGGAAAAGGAAGGATATACATATATAAGACAGACCCAAAACAAATACAGCGAAGACTTTGAAAACTGAACTCTAATATATAATATAAATCACTATTCACATCCCAGACCTAATCTTGAGTGGCAGAGCCAGAGTAGCATAGCAAAGACATTGAAAACGGAACTGATATTGGAACCCAGCACACAAAAGATAGAATTTGTGGCGTGAACCCGAGTTGGCTGTCTGCTAAAAAAAATAAACAAATATTCTCCTAGGGACTGAGAATCTCACAACATAATAATTTCAAAATGTCCAGAATATAATCCAAAAAATGCTCAACATTCAAAGAACTAGGAAAATATGACACCATTCTAGGTTTCAAGCAAATAATCAAAAATAATGAAGTATACTATACAAACCTCTAGAATCTACAGAACAGACCAGAAATAAACTCCTTTAATAAACTTTATTAAAACCTTAATAAAACAATGTTTACTATGTTCATGTAGATAAAAAGCTGCACTTAAAAATTTCAGCAAAGAATACTAGTGGTGAGCATAGCATTATATACAGACCTATCAAATCATTAAGTTACACAACTAAAACTAATGAAACGTTGTCAACTACATGTCAATTTTTAAAAATTACAGCAATAAAATTGAAAGTCTAAAAAGTGACACTACAGATATTTTAAAAATCAGCTAATATTTACAGAACCAGAAAAAAATAACAAAAAATAAAACCTTAACTGATGGATTTGAAAACAGACTAGAAAAAAAAAGAGAAAAAAAAAGACTATAAATAGTGAATAGAGAATAAGTATACTGGAAGAGAGTAGAAGACACTTTCCTGAATGGTGCACAAGAAAAAAGACAAAAAATACACCCAAGGCAGAAATACCAAAGATACAGTAAAGTAGCCTCGTTGACTTGAAAAGATTAAATAGGCTTTCATCTAAGGGACTCTGCACTTACTATTTCCCAAAATAGTTTCATGGCTCATTCCCTCACTTATTAGGGTCACTATAATCGTTCCCCAGTCATCCTATCCCAAAATATCCCAAAATCTCCTTAAGCAATTATTATTACCATGCATATATTTTATTTTTTTATGGTCTATGTCCCTCCACTATGATGCACACTTCTTTTCTCTCTTTTTTTTTTAATTTATTTATTCATGAAAGACACAGAGAGAGAGAGAGGCTGAGACACAGGCAGAGAGAAAAGCAGGCTCCCTGCAGGGAGCCCAATGTGAGACTTGATCCCAGACCAGGATCACACCTGAGCCAGATGCTCAACCACTGAGCCACCCAGGCATCCCAGATGCACACTTCTTAAGAGCAGAAACTGTTCATTGCTGTTTTCCTCACCCTTCAGAACATTTCATGACACAAAGTATGCACTTTAAAAACTGGTGAATAAGGGGCACCTGGGTGGCTCAGTCTTAGTACCTGCCTTCAGCTCAGGTCATGATCACGGGCCCCGGGATACAGGCTTCCTGCTTAGGAGGGAGTCTGCTTCTCCCTCTCTTTCTGCCCCTCCACTGGCTTGTGATCTCTCTCTCTCTCTCTCAAATAAATGAATAAAATCTTAAAAAATAAAAGTAAAAACAAAAGCTGGTAAATGAGAGGTACCTGGGTGGCTCAATCGGTTAAGTGGCCTTTGCCTTGCTAGTGCTCTCATGGGCAGTAGGATCAAGCCCCAAATCAGGCTCCAGGCTCAGTGGGGAATCTACCTGAGGATTCTCTCTCTTCCCCCACCCCCTCTCAATAAATAAATAAATACTTTTTTAAAAAAAACTGGTGAATGAATAAGTAAGACATAAAAACTGCAATAGCAAGAGGAAAGGCTTAAGACAAGAATCTAGGTGGAGCTTATGTTAGCAAGTATAAAGACTTTTTTTTTTTTTTTGAGAGGAAGAGAGAGAAAGAAGAGGGGAGAGGGAGAAAGAGAATCTTAAGCAGGTTCCACATCCAGCACAAAGCCCAACATGGGACTTGATCTCACAACCCTGAGATCATGACCTGAGCCAAAAATCAAGCCCTGGATTAACTGACAGAGCCACGCAAGCTTCCCTAAAGACTTTTTTAAGAAAAGAAAAACTATCTACATGTCATATTAAGGTATGCTTATTGGGGGGCACGTGGGTGGCTCTGTTAGTTAAGCATTTGCCTTCGGCTAAGGTCATGATCCCAGGGTCCCGGGATCTAGCTTCCTGGGATCGAGGCCCCTTTCGGGCTCTATGCTCAGCGAGGAGTCTGCTTCTCCCTCTCCCCCTACTTGTGTGCACTCTCTTTCTCAAATAAATAAATTAAATCTTTAAAAAAGAAAAAAGATATGCTCATTGGTTCATTTAAGAGATCACCAAAAAAATTTTTTTAAAGATTCTTCAAACCTCTTCCTACCATCTTAGCATAAAACTAAACAGAGGGGGAAAAAAAAAACTAGCAGGCTGTCTCCATGGCCTAAGTTACTTTCTACAAAGCAGTCAATACACCATCCCTCCATCCCCATCTATATACTTTTCCCCACTTTTTTTTTTTAAGATTTTATTTATTTATTCATGAGAGACACAGAGAGAGAAAGAGGCAGAGACACAGGCAGAGGGAGAAGCAGGCTCCATGCAGGGAGCCCGATGTGGGACTCGATCCTGGGTCTCCAGGATCAGGCCCTGGGCTGACGGTGGCATAAACCACTGAGCCACTTTTCCCCACTTTTTATACCTGGATGGAAAAGCTAATATTGAAAGTTAAATAAATGGGATGTAACAGAGGAGCTGTTAGTCGTGTCCTACATTCTGTTAAGTAGGTATGCTACATTCCGTTAAGTATTTATAGGTCCAAAAGCAAAGTACTATATGCAGGGCCCAAGAAAAACCCTAGTAATAGTGCATAATGGAAATAAGAATAGCTAACACTGAGCACTTTGCACTGTTCTAAGCAATTTATTAACTAACCTAATTCTCAAAACAGCACTAAGAGGCATTTATTAACCAATAAACAGTAGGTCTGAGAGATTATATAGCTTATTCATGGTCAAGTGGACAGCGACTGAAAGTCTGAATTTGAGCATAGGCTGTCTACTCTTAGCCTAAGCTCTTAAGCAGTACATTGTGATATTAAAATTTTAGCTAGGGACGCCTGGGTGGCTCAGTACTTAAGCATCTGCCTTTGGCTCAGGGTCCTGGGATCAAGTCCCATATCAGGCTCCCCACAGCAAGCCTGCTTCTCTCTGTGTGTCTTTGCCTCTCTCTCTCTCTCTCTCTCATAAATAAATTTTAAGAAATAAAATAAAATTTTAGCTAAGAAAAGCAAGAGCTATGCTGCTATGCTGAAAAAGCAGGTAGACAGTATTTTCTAATAGATTCTTGGCATAAACAAAGTAGAGCTGGTGTCAAATTAATGACAAAGATAAAACTGCTGGTTTTTTTTTAAAGATGTTTATGTTTTTCATCAAAACGAAAAAAATTGGGGGGATCCTTGGGTGGCTCAGCAGTTTAGCGCCTGCCTTCGCCCCAGGGCATAGTCCTAGAGTCCCAGGATCAAGTCCTGCTTCGGGCTCCCTGCATGGAGTCTGCTTTTCCTTCTGCCTGTGTCTCTGCCTCTCTCTCTCTCTGTGTTTCTCATGAATAAATATTTTTTAAAAAATGAAAAACATTCCTACAAGTAAAATTGAGTATGCATAAAATGAGAATGTGTACTTGAATATTTATACTACAACCTTATTAGAATATTTTAAAAGCATGTTTCTTTAGGAGAAATTTGAGAATTATATTTAGATTTGAAATAAATATTGTACTACTTAAGTATGTGCCTTCAGCATAGCTGTCCATCGGTATTTTCTATTATGAACACAGCTATATATTAATTCAATTTGCTAGCTGTTCCAAAGAGAAGAAAAAGCCTCAAGATCACATTTCAACTACAAATGTCAAGTATGTATCTTTTGAAATATATTATCTTTCAAAACACTTTGAGCTTTCAAAGCTCAAAGAACTGAGAAATTACTACTTATGCAAAGAAATTGTATAAGGCACTTATAACTTGTTCAAATCAAAATTGGATCCAAAAAGTGAAAGAATAATTTCTTCCCTTATCCACCCCCACCATTAAAATAAAAATAAATTGATAAAAATCACATAAAATAAGAAATATATTTACATTTCTTTGTCTTTTCTGCAGATCTGGCACAGGTTTCTTTGAGTAAATTACATAAATGCCTTGTAGCATTATTCCTGAAAGAAAACAAAGAGTCTGCCTAAGTATAATCTGATCTCAAAGCAAAATCATATGGAAAAGTTATGAAACATTGATACAATTTTTAAAGAAATTCTTATATTTACACACATATAGATCACATCACTCAAGTGATTTTAAAAATGGGTTGATTATACTAGTAGCAAAGACAACTTAGTAACTTCCTCTCTTAAAAGTAAAAAGGATAGTTTCTTAACAAGTTTCTACCCAAGTAGCTAACAATAACCTTTCAGTAAATAGTTCCAGATTTTGCCCACCGGAAAAAAAAAAATGAGAAAAGAGGGCTGGGTTTTTCTTTTACTATTTACCCCAGAAATATTCTAGCTGTCTTATCCTCAAAACATTAAACAGGTAACTTTCTGACTAGCCTTTCATTACATGAATAATAAGACCTCTGATCATCTCAATAGGAGCAGAGAAAGCATTTGATAAAATTCAGTATTCATTTATGATAAAAATTCTCAACAAAGTGGGTATAAATATCCATTTATGATAAAAACTCTCAACATAATAAAGGGCATGTATGACAAGTCCATAGTTAACCCCATACTTAATAGTAAAAAGTAAAAAGCTGAAAGACTTTCCTCTTAGATCAGGAACAAGACAAGAATGCCCACTCTCACCACTTTTATTCAACATAGTATTGGAAGGCTTAGAGCAATTAGGCAAGAAAATAAACGTATCCAATTTGGAAAGGAAGAAGTAAAATTCTATTTGCAGAGGACATGATATTATATATACAAAACTTAAAGACTCCACAAAAAAAAAAAAAACTTCCAGAATATAACAAATTCAGTAAAGTTTGCAATATGCAAAATACACAAAGATCAGTTTCATTTCTGTACACTAATAATGAATGAACTATCTGAAGGAGAAATTAAGAAAACAGAAAACAGCCCAATTTATAACTATACCAAAAAGAATAAAATACCTAGGATTAAATTTAACCAAGGAGGTGAAAGACCTGTATACTGAAAACTATAAGACATTAATGAAAGAAACTGAAAACACAAACAAATGGAAAGATATTCCGTGTTTATGGATTAGAAGAATATTGGTAAAATATCTACACTACTTAAATGGGTCCTGATAACCAATTTCCACACCAACAAGCAATTCTTGGGACACTAGCTGAGTGTCCCATAATTCAATTATGACACTATCAACCTGAAGATAGCCTCAGATTCCACAGGTTAAGGGTTCAGTCCTACAAAACTACTGTCCCCCTGGCCCCACTTAAGATACCAGTCAGTAATCCCAGGTTGCTACCGGGACTTCTATCAAACTAGCTATAAATCAGAAGTTTTCATGACTCATTCCTTAGTTTTTCCGACACCAATCACAGGTTCAGATTGTTACCTGAATCTCTAGACTGCCTATAAATCTAAGGTTCCTTGGGTTCAATTAATTTGCTGGAGCAGTTCACTGAACTCAAACAATTTACTTGTTAGATTACTAGTTTATTATAAAAGGATATAACTCAGGAACAGCTAGATAGGAGAGATGCATAGGACAAGGCATGGAGGAAAAGGGTATAGAGCTTCCATGCTTTCTCTGAGCGCACCACTCTCCCTAGATCTCTTAAGCAACCTAGAAGTTTTCCAAACCTTGTCCTCTTGGGTTTTTATGGAGGCTTAGTTACATAATTGTGATTGATTAAATCATTGGCCATTGATAATTGATTCAACCTTCAGACTCTTTCCCATCCCCAAGGTTGAGGGAGGAACTGAAAGTTTCAACCATCTGATCACATGGTTGATTTTGATTCTCTTGGCAACCAGCCCCATCCTTAAGTGGGGTCCAGAAGTTACCTCATTAACATAACAAGAGACAACTTTGTCACTCTCAGCACTTGGGAAATTCCAAAGGTTTTGGAGATTATGAGTCAGGAATGGTAGATGAAGACCAAATATATCTAAGAAAATATATATTTGGTCATCTGAATGACCAAAGCATAGGTTTTTTTCTTATATATTTCATGCTACCCAAAACAGTTTACAGATTCAATATAATCGCAAACAAATTTCCAATGGCATTTTTCAGAAAAGAACAAACCTAAAATTTGTATATAATCACCGAAGAGCCAAAGCAAACTTGAGAAAGAAGAAAAGAGCTGGAAGAATCCCACTTCCTGATTTCAAACCATATGACAATACTATAGTGACCAAAATAGTATGGGATGAGATGCCTAGGTGGCTCAGTCCCTTAAGCATCTGCCTTTGGCTTGGGTCATGATCCTGGGGTCCTGGGATCAAGCCCTGCATCAGGCTCCCTGCTCGGTGGGGAGTCTCCATCTCTCCACCTGTTCATACTCTCTCTCTCTCTCTCTCTCTCTCTCAAATAAATTTTTTTTAAAAAACCAGTATGGGAGGTGGGTGGAAGGTTAGGTTTGTTTTAAGATTTTATTTATTTATTTGAAGGGAGCGAGGGGCAAAGGAAGGAGAAAAAATCCCAAGCAGACTCCTTGCTAATAAATACAGAGCCCAATGCAGAGCAGTCTTACAACCCCAAGATCATGACCTGAGCTGAAATCAAGAATCAGATGCTCAACCAACTGAGCCACCCAGGCACCCTGGGAGGTTAAGTTAAATAGGTGATGGAGATCAAGGAGTACAGGTGTTGTGATGAGCACCAGCTATTATATATAGAAGTGCTGAATCACTACATTATACACCTGAAACTAATATTATACTCTTAACTAATTAGAATTTAAATAAACCTAAAAAAAAAAAAACCTAGTATGGTATTAGCGTAAAAGCAGACACATAGGGGTACCTAGCTGGCTCAGTGGGTTAAGCATCCAACTCTTAATTTTGTCTCAGGTCATGATCTCAGGGTTGTGAGACTGAGCTCTGCATCAGGCTCCACACTCAGTGTGGAGTCTGCTTGTCCCTCTCCCTTTGCCACTTCTCCCACTCATGCTCTTCTCTCTCTCTCAAATAAATAAAGACTTTAAACAACAACAACAACAAAAAAAAAACAGACACATAAATCAACAGAACAAGAGAGTCCAAAAATAAAGTCATGAATATATGGTCATATAAAATGAAAAACAAGAAACAACACATGTTGGCAAGGATGTGAAGAAAGAAAAATCCTCATGCACTGTGGAAAAGCAAACTGATGCAGCTGCTATGGAATACAGTATGGAGGTTGCTTAAAAAATTAAAAATAGAACTATCCTATGATCTAGTAATCACACTAAGTATTTACCCCAAGAATATGAAAACACTAATTTGGGGTATATGCATTCCTATTGCATTATATCTAATAGCCGAATTATGAAAGCAACCCAAGTATCCACTGATAGATGAATGGATAAAAAAGATGTGGTATAGGGGTCCCTGGGTGGCGCAGTGGTTTAGCGCCTGCCTTTGGCCCAGGGCCCGATCCTGGAGACCCGGGATCGAATCCCACGTCGGGCTCCTAGTTCATGGAGCCTGCTTCTCCCTCTGCCTGTGTCTCTGCCTCTCTCTCTGTCTCTCTCTCTGTGTGATTATCATAAATAAATAAAAATTTAAAAAAAAAAGATGTGGTATAGGGGCACCTGGGTGGTTCAGTGGCTGAGTATCTACCTTTGGCTCAGGTCATAATCCTGGGGTTCTGGTATCAACTCCCATAGAGCCTGTTTCTCCCTTTGCCTAGGTCTCTGCCTCTCTCTGTGTCACTTATGAATAAATAAATAAAATCTTTAAAAAAAAAAAGATGTCTGGACACCTGGATGGCTCAGTGGTTGAGCAACTGCCTTTGGCTCAGCTCATGATCCCAGGGTCCTGGGTTTGAGTCCACATCAGGCTACCCACAGGGAGCCTGCTTCTCCCTCTGCCTATGTCTCTGCCTCTCTCTGTGTATTTCTGTCATGAATAAATAAATAAAATCTTTAAAAAAATAAAAAAGGTGTGATACATATATATATAATAAACAGCATACACACAAAAAAATATGGAATATTACTTAGCCATAAAAAAGAATGAAATCTTGCCATTTGCAACAATATGGATGGATCCAAAGGGTATAATGTTAAGCAAAATAAGCCAGTCAGAGAAAGGTTGGTTTGGTTTTGTTTTCAAAGCCTATGACTGTTCTCCAGTATAGAGCAGTAGTTCCCAAAGTATGATCCTTGTCCTAGCAATATCCACATCACTCATTAAAAGCTCTAATTCTGAAGCCCTACTCCACTTAACCAGAAATTCTGGTAAGGGAGCAGAGGACAACAGTGTATGTTTTAACAAGCACTGCAGTTAATTCTGGTGCTTGCTAAAATTTAAGAACCACAGGTAGAGAGGGACTTTTTTGTTACTGGTTTTGTAAAAAATCAAAAACAAGTGACCATGAACCTAATTCTTCAATTACAATTTGAAAAACAACTTCAGCCTTTTCCCCTGTTAATTTATGGTGAGGGAGAGAGGGCAAAAGTGCTTTAGCAGTATGTTCCCTAAACCACAGGAGCAGCACAACCTGGCATAAAGCCAGACATTTACTCCATATATAAGCAACCATCCAATCAAAAAATATTTATTTTAAATCTGCTATGTTCTTAGAAATGTCTCAATTTTAGAATTCTTAAAACTCTTCACTAGCTTCCAAATGACCATCTGCAGCAATTTTCAGTTTTTTTTTCTAGAACCAAAATCCTTTTTCAATACGATATCTTAAGTGGATACACAAGATTTTGAATTGTATTTTTAAAATAACAATGTTCCTGTTAAAGGGAGCCATAGCTATAATCACTGAGCCTTTTACCTACCCTCTGCAATCCCTATGCTTTGACATAAAAATCAAAATTCCTTAGCATGTCATGAAATGCCAGAGTAGCAACCTCTAATTCTCCTCCTGGCTAATTCCTATTCATCCTTCAGACATTCTCATCTTTAGAAAGCCTTCTCTAGGAGGATCCCTGGGTGGCTCAACAGTTTAGCGCCTTCCTTTGGCCCAGGCCGTGATCCTGGAGACCCGGGATCGAGTCCCATGTCAGGCTCCCTGCATGGAGCTTGCTTCTTCCTCTGCCTCTCTCTTTCTCTCTCTCATGAATAAACAAATAAAATCAAAAAAAAAGGAAGAAAGAAAGAAAGAAAGAAAGAAAGAAAGAAAGAAAGAAAGAAAGAAAGAAAGAAAGCCTTCTCTGACAATGACCACCATCAAATGAATGTAACAGGGCTTGCCGGGTTTAATTCATCAAATTATTTAAACAAATCCCAGATAGGAGTCAGACAAAAATCAAATGTTGCTTTTTAAGGTTATTTCTAAAAATACGTAATTGTGGATGCTTCAGGTTTGACTCGTGAAATTTGAAAATTGAAACTATTATTACATCTAATGTTGGAAATCAGATCATATAGAAGGTCCTGCTCCATTCAAAAAAAAATGCCTTCAAAATTATGTAAATTATCTCAAAACACTTTTCCTGCTCAAAAATATCAATAAACCAAAGTGTCCATTCCCTCTCAACTTTTATTACAGGACAGGCAGGTGGTTTTGAAATATCCAAAGTCTCTTTCAAATCTATATCTCTTTTAAAAAGTTATGATCAGTTAATGAGCTGGTCCTGAGCAACTGTATATTAAACCTGTCTTCCGACAATCAAGTCACTCTACCTTAAGCGCAACTTTGTTTCTCACCTATATTTTGACAAAGCTCTTAGCTAAATGTTAGCTTCCTTCAGACAACAATTGACAATTCAGTATTTGAGGCCAAAACAGAACTGAAACAATTATTTAAAATAGAAGGAAATCGGGGATCCCTGGGTGGCGCAGCGGTTTGGTGCCTGCCTTTGGCCCAGGGCGCGATCCTGGAGACCCGGGATCGAATCCCACGTCGGGCTCCCGGTGCATGGAGCCTGCTTCTCCCTCTGCCTATGTCTCTGCCTCTCTCTCTCTCTGTGACTATCATAAATAAATAAAAAAATAAATAAAATAAAATAATAAAATAAAATAAAATAAGGAAATCATACCCAAAATAAACATACTCCCTCTCACCTCAAAAAAAAATGGCATAAATTCTATACTATATCACACTACACTACCTTACACTATACTATGTAACTAAACTCACAGTATTCACAAAAATTCAACTTTTCATCAACAGAGGCAACAACCATCTTAAGAAAACTCACAAGTTTTCAAAGACTGGTATTAGGGCTAAAGCAGGCTTTAAAGGTCTTGTAAGATACTACAGAAACTCAATCACATACCCATACAAAAGTGACCATAAGTATCAAACATACAATAAGCACACAATGTTAGAAACTTTTTCTTCTCTATCCTTTCTCCTTAATAACCAAACCTCAATTAGACAGGGAAAAAATTAAGGTTTAATATTTAAATTTTATCTGGAAAATCACAGGTTGTCTTTTTTAAATTTATTTAAGTAATCTCTACCCCCAGTATTGGGCTCAAACTCACCACCCCAAGATCAAAAGTCACAGGCTCTTCCAACTGAGCCAGCCAGGCACCCCCATAGGTTGTTTTTCAATTGGACTAAATCTGTTGTAAGAGTCCTTTTAATTTATCAGCAACTTCTCTGACAAAGTGGTATGTCTTCTAAAGCTATGATGTTTAACTTAAACATATAGGAATAAATAAATCTGTACTCTTTGTGGACCCATACATTACATTTCTAACTACTCAATATCTACTTAGTAGGTGAAATAAACAAGTTACATTTTTCTATTAAATTCTATACGATATCATCTGAATGAGGTGATAAGGGTATAAGGCTTAGCTATTGCCTAAAACAAAGGAAAGGAAAAGCTAAAGATGATACTATAATTTTAAGCTAACATTAATGGAAGAATCATTAGGCCACTGACAAAAACAAGAATTTAAGAGTAAGAATTAGCTTGTAACTAAGTTGAGCATGATTTTACAAATGCTCCACCTAAAATACTGCAACAAACAGAAAGGTAGACAATATACATAGGCAGTTGCAGATACAGGATTATCAGATACCTTTTGACACAAATAATGGTTTCTCCTGCCTGACATCTTAAAAAGCAAGAAATTATTAGTCAGTGACCACTGTTGGCCAAATACAAGAATGTAAATAAAATAAGTAGGTCTTCCTTCTTCCACACTACCCAGGTAGAATTCTATGTATAAGTTAATATTACATAACAGAATATTAAGTTAAATTTCTGGAAATCGCTTTAATAAGTATGGAATAAATAAATTTAGAAAAAACAAATTCATTAAATTACTTACTCTTTTATTAAATCTTTATTTTCTTGAATTCCTTCTTCTAATTTCAAACTTACTTTTTCATTTTCAAACTAATTTACAAAACAAAAGAACAGTTCATCACATTTTGCTTAGCAAAATAAACATGAGTATAATCATTAAGCAGCATTTCTTTGCTAACAACTAATATGTGTAAGAATTCTTTGCAAATTTTTGTGTCACAGCTTATGGATTTCCCATAAGAATATGGATCCCACTTTCACAAATCTAAAATCAAATTTGCTGAATCATCCCCAAAAAAGTATCAACAATATTTTAATGCAATATTATCTTCCCTAAACATTTTTAATGTTTTATCTTTGTCCCAATCCAAAATTGTATTTTCTCAACATTTTTCTTTTACTCCACCACAAAGCTGAAGCAAGAGTTCCAAATATAAAATTTTATCCATAAATCTCATATTCCAATTAATAAAAAACATATACAAGTCATCATCAATAACAGGGATTAATAAAAATTTTAAAATCTATAAATCAATCTTTATCTAAAGTAATTTATTAATTCCCTAAACATTTGCATTAAGTTTTGTGCAACTTTTCTATGCTCATCCTAAAGTTGAAATACAGTATCAGCAAAACTTCAAAAAAAGCACTGTCCTTAAAATCCACATCACTGTAATACTCTATTTTAAAACAGTACTATGATAAAATCTACTACACTATATTTTCTATTCCAAATCTTATTATACCTGTAGTTCCTGAATGGCTTTCCGTTGTGCTTCAATTATCTTTCTGTTTTCTTGCAACTTATTTTCTTTCTGCTTCAATTCAGATTCTACACTCACTTTCCACTTCTTGATCTTTTCAGCTTCCTTATACAGTTTTGAATATAGTCTGCTCATTGGCTCTGAATTCTATTAAAATAAAAGAGTTTTCAAAGAGTAGTAATGCTAAAATTTTGAACAATTCACAAACTACAGCTGCCTGCTGAAAATATCCTAGTAATAAAGTATCTTAATAGTTAAGAACAAATCTCTCCTCAATTTATGTTCTGAAACATAATGTAGTATGTTAACTACTACTAATGTAGTTTTATCCTGAAAACTACATTAACTCTTTAAGTTATTAGTAGCCTTAGCTACTTCACTAAAGTTACTGGTCACTTGATTAAGTTATGCGCTATTGAAAAAATCCAATACCTTCAAAATAGATCTAAGCCAGATATTGGAAATATTTTAGTCAATGAGAGAATCTGGCGGGTTAAAAGCTAAAATAAGTTACTCTACACAATATCTATAAATTTTTACAATGGTCTTGAAAACATTTTGGTTATACAGTTTGAAGATTATCTAAAGGACATGAATTTTAAAATATAATGACAAAAATAATAGTTAACACAAGATCTAGCTATCATTATTCTAGATTCATTAAGGTTTTATTTAGCTTTTATTCAGATTTCCTGAATTATCCATTTCAACATTATAAGGTAAATGTCAGTTTATATTTTTTAAAATCACAGATGTCTGCTTGCTGATGGCTCTTTGTTATCAAAATATATGAATAAGTTCCATATTTTTAAATTCTGTGATATTTTAATCACAGCAACAAACATAGCACTTTATAAAGCCATGGAATTTCTTTTTTTTCCTTAAGTAGACTTCATGCCCAAAATGGGGCTTGAATTCAAGAATCCCATGCTCTACCAACTGAGCCAGCCAGGCGCCCCAGAATTTTTGTTTTAAAGACATCTATGTGTCATAAGTAAAAATGATTTTTATAACTAAAATAAAAAGCACAGCATGTTCTATAAATTCCTTAGACAGCAAACAAGCCCAATATTCATAACTTATTAATTAAAGGATTGCTTGTAAAATAGCAGTTTTCACATATTGTAGCCACATCCTCTCTTTTATTATTGCTCTTTATGGCTTAAAATTAAATTGCCACTAAAGAATGCATGCTTGTGTAACCCAGAAAAATACAAAAGCCTAGTATTTCAGCAACGTTAAAGAAAAACAAAGGGGAGAAAATAGTTTTAAACAATATAACTTAAAACATTAACCAAATCCTAATCCCTTAGAAGCTTCAAAAAGAAAGATATATATAATTAACAAGAAATGATACTCCAATTACAAGAAATTTAATAAAAATAGAAAATCTTCTGACCTCAAAATCAGAATCTTTTAGTCCTTCCTGGTAATGACAATTGTCAGAATTATCAACCTAAAAAAATGAATAAGTGTTTCCTGTAAGAAAATATTTCTGATGAAAGTTTCCAAACAGTAGTAATTAAGTACTGACAACTCATAGACCAACCACTAAAGAGTTTTTTCCCCTCTTTCAAACAAGCAACTAAATACCTAAACAGATTTTGTCTATGTACCCTATACTTAACTGACCTGTTCAAGCATGGGCAAAAATTTAACTTTTTGTAAAGCAGGATCTGCAAGATAAAAAACAACTGGTATTAAATATGACAGCATCTTATTTTTTATATGAAGTATTAAATCTAGCTTTAATATCAAGGCTAATAACAATAATTATAGTCAATATCTAGCAACATGTATGGAAAAAATATGTCCATATACAGTGATATATTGCTTTCCCAGGCTCTTACCTGAATCAATGTTTTCCCCATTTTTGGAGAGATTAGTCATTGCAAATGGAAAACTAAAATCATCTTCAATACATTTGTTGGCACCCTAGAAACACAAAGAAGTTCTTAAACATACTATTCCAAACCACTCTGATAACTATTCGTATAATATGTAACTATATATATAATACACATCTACTTAAAGTGACTTTAATTATAAATCCTTTAATGTATATGCAATATTTAAAACTTCAAGTGGTTTTGATATGTAAAAAAGCAAAAAATACATCCTTTGTAAGTATTCAAGAAAATAACAGTAATTTTAATCAGTAGCTTAATAGTTTTCTTCAATTTCAATATGATCTTCCCCTTGATAAAATTTAGAGTTGTCTTCACTGAATAGCATTTTGATAGTATACTCTTAGCTATATAGACAGGAATTTTTCTACAGTGTATAAACTGAAATATTCATTGCTTCATTCCATCTCCAATATGATGTTCCACAGAGAAATTTTTAAAATAATTTAGCAAAAAAATTAATAAATAAAATAATTTAGCAGTAAAAGCTGTATTAATTCCTCCTTTCTTTTTTTTTTTAAGATTTATTTATTTATTCATGAGAGACACAGAGAGAGAAGCAGACACACAGGCAGAGGGAGAAGCAGTCTCCTCGCAGGGAACCCGATGTGGGACATATCCTGGGATCATGCTCTGAGCCGAAGGCAGATGCTCGACCCCTGAGCCACCAGGTGTTCTTAATTCCTCCTTTCTGATAAGAACTCTACTGTACAAATGAATTTCTCTTTTTGTCCTGACAACCAGGAAGCTCAAAACCAAATTTTAAGTTTAGACGCTAATTTTTACCAGTATGTTGGCATATTTTCCAAATTTTATTTTTTCTTTGATCCTAATATTCTCTTAATATATTTTTGTAATCTTGCTACTTCATTGTATGTATCTTACAAATTGCCTCAAATCATTTAAGGACAAAGGAAGATTCAAATAAGCAGGACTCATTAAGTATCCAGAGTTCTACAAAAGCAGTCATTATTTTTTTAAATGAAGATGCTTCCAAACATTAAGTGTGCTCATTATTCATTCAAAGCAATACTCTCCAAATTCCTGGGTAAAGAACACCTGGGTGGCTCAGCGGTTGAGTGTCTGCCTTTGGCTCAGGGTGTGATCCCTGCCCAGGGATTGAGTCTCGTATCAGGCTCCCTGCAAGGAGCCTGCTTCTCCCTCTATCTCTCTGCCTGCCTCTCTCTCTCCCTCTCTCTCATAAATAAACAAAATCTTAAAAAAAAAAAAAATTCTTGGGTAATGAAAATCCCAGAAGACAACACAGGCAGTAATTTCTCTGACATTGGACATAGCCACATTTATCTAGATAAGTCTTCTGAGTCAAGGTAAACAAAAGGAAAAATGAACTATTGGGACTTCCTCAGGACAAAAAACTTTTGCATAGTGAAGGAAGCAATCAACAAAACTAAAAAGCAACCTACAAAATGGGAGAAGATATTTCCAAATGGCATATCCAATAAAGGGTTAGTACCCAAAAAACAAATAATTCAATTGAAAAATGGGTGGAAGATACTTGCAAATGATATCCAATAAAGAGATAGTATCCAAAATGTATAAAGAATTTATAAAATTCAACACCCCAAAAATAAACAATTCAACTGAAAAATGGGAAGGCATGAGTAGACATTTCTCCAAAGAAGACATACAGATGGCCAACAGACACATGAAAAGATGCTCAACATCATTTCATCAGGAAAATGCAAATTAAAACTACAATGAGGTATCTCACACCTATCCAAATAGCTAAAATGAAAAATACAAGAAGCAACAAGTGTTGACGAAGATGTGGAGAAGAAGGAACCCTCATGCACTGTTGGTGGAATGTAAACTGGTGCAGCCACTCTGGAAAAGAGTATGGAGGTTCTTCAAAAAAAAAATTTTTTTTTAATGAAAAAATAGAACTACCCTATGATCTAGCAACTCCACTACTGGTTATTTACCCAAAGAATATGAAAAAACTAATTTGAAAAGATGTATGCCCCCTGTGTTTATGGTAGCATCATATACAAAGCCAAACTACAGAAGCAGCCCAAGTGTCTACCAACTGATGAATGGATAAAGGGGATGCAGTATATATACACAGTGGAGTACTACTCAGCCAACAATAAAAATGAAATCTTGCCATTTGTGATTTGAAATTTGACATATATGGAGCTAGAGTGTTTTATCCTAAGTGAAATAAAGGAGTCAGAAAAAGATACCATATAATCTCATTCATGTGGAATTTAAGAAACAAAGCAAAAAAAGAAACAAAATAAACAATCATGGGGGTGGGGCAGACAAACCCAAGAAAGAGACTTAACTAGGGAGAATTGATGGGTTACCAGAGGGGAGGAGGATGGGAAATAGGTGATGAGGATTAACTAGGGCTTATCAAGAGGCCTGGGTGGCTCAGCAGTAGAGCATGTATGCCTTTAATTCAGAGCTTGATCCCAGGGTCCTGGGATTGAGTCCCACATCAGGATCCCCGCAGGGAGCCTGCTTCTCCCTCTGCCGGTGTCCCTGCCTCTCTCTGTGTGTCTCTCATGAATAAATATTTTTTTAGAAAAATTTAAAAAGGAGGGCCCTTAAACCGTTCTGGATCAGGAAAAGTCATACTGTTCACTTTCAAGTTGGCTGCCCCCCTCCCCCATATGTACAGACAATAATAGGGTGTGGAACGTCGTCAGTGGCAAACATTTCACAGATTTTTATTTTGTTTCTGTCTTCAACATTTTTGACACTGTGCTAATAGTTATATTCAGTACATGAAAAGATACTACTGTATTGAAAGCTTTTTAGGAAATTTTGACAGTATTTTTGTACAAAACATTTTTTTGAAAAAATACTTGTTAATTTATTCTATTTTAATTTGCCAATGTCAATAAAAAGAAATAAAAATAATAATGAAATAAATTAAAAAAATAAAAAGGAGGGCCCTTCACATGGTAAGCACTGGGTGATATATGGAAGTGCTGAATCATTATATTGTACACCTGAAAATAACAACACTGTCAAGTAAATTGGACTTAAAATTTTAAATAAGTCTGTTTAAAAATTCTTGGGTAAATCAGGCCATATTTGCTGGGGGCGGGGGGGGGGGGAAATTATAAAATAACACCAGTAAGAAAATACACCCTGCCTTCTGACCTCAAGTTTAACAACAGGAGAATTAAGATTCATATATGCAAGCTTACCTTGAAGAAATTAGAATCTCCTCCCAAAGTCTGAGGTTTCACTGCAGATACCTGACTGCTACTTAATCTTGGTGGTACAAACAATTTAAAAGGTTTTTGCTTTTCCATTTTCTCTCTTCCAGTTGTAAATTACCTTTTGCCCTAGAGGGCGGGGGGGGGGGGGGGAGAAGGGGAGCGGGAAGAGTTTCACATGGTTTCATTAATACACGCTTTATGCTTTATTTTAAAAGGCGATGTCTGTATAATAAATGCTATATAAAGGGGCTGGTGTAACCTCTGCTACAGTGTGAAGTCTGCAGCGTCGCATCCCCGGGCTGTCAAAGTAAAAGACACCCCACAGTTGTTCCCAGCATCCCCCACCACCAAGGCCACGCTGGCGACCTAGATGAGCCGGAAGACTCCCAACGCAGATATCATCACCGTGGCAGCCCCCAAAGCAAGCCCTAGCTCCACCGGTAAGTTGTATCGGCCCGCAGCGAACACCACCACAGGTTCTTAAAAAGCTGCCGGCTGCCTAGGAGGCGCTGGTGGGAAGGGGGGAGGGGGGAGGGGGGGGAGGGGGAGGGGGAGGGGGCGGGGGCACCTACTGCCGCAGGTGCGGAATCCTAACCGCGCCCTGCTCCGGGTTCCGTCAAGAACGGAACTCAGTAAACCTGCGCTTACCTCTCAAGATTCAGGGAGAAACCGTGGGCTCGGTGCCCACGCGAACTACTTGCTGTCGCATAGGTCCGCAAAAAGAATCACTACGAGCTTCTGCCTCCGAACCTTGGAAAAGGCGGGAAACCGCTCCACCCCGGCGGCCAGCCAGGAAGGACGGGGCGCTCGACGGTTTAACGGCTAAATAACGGTCGGTCGCGACGGTTTGCCAGGTTCCCGATTCTCGCGAGACTTTCCTCGACGCGGTCACAATTGCTTCTTCGCGCGGGTTCTGTTTCTCTTTAGCGTCGATGTTCCTTAAGCTTCTGCTATCGTCGGAGAATGCAAGGAAGGCTAGCCAGGACTACGATAGGTTGGAGGGGAGAGTAAAAAAGAAAAGAAAAAAAAAAAAAAAAAACCATTTCTGGTGTCCCAGAGTTCAATCTTAGGGAGGAAAGTGTTGGGCAGAAGATGATAGCCAGGTTTTGTAATCACTTAAAGGTAATTTTGAAAGGGTGGTTAGGACACAGGGAAAGCGGCGCTTGAGGGGGCCTGGGGAGTCAGGAGAGGCTGCACACAGGTGGTAGGCTTGTCTTAGGGCTTCCCCCCAGAACAAGAGAGTGACGAGAGAGAAAGAGCGGGCAGGATGGAGGTCCTGACCGAGGGAAGGTAGGCGGCGGCCCTGTAGTCGTGAGCGAGAGGAGCGGGAGCGTCCGAGAAGTGCGGCCTGGTGGGAAAATGCCAAGAGCTGAGGCTGCACGCTTGGCGGGCCCGAGGTCTTGCCAGGGCTTTGGGGTTTTAACCTTTATGGATGGGCTCTTGAAGAGCTCCGAGTAGAAAGGGGGGGTCAGCTCAAATTGAGAAGATTTGTAGTATGAAAAACGGGTTAGGCACGCATATGGGACTGGAGTTATTTAGGGAGACTTTTTTGGGGGGGCGGGGGGGGGAGACAGTTTTAATAGGCTAGGTAAGCTGTGAGGAGCCCAGCCGTTGGTAGTGGCGTGGAGATGAAGAAGCGGCCTCAAAATGTAAAAGATGTTTAGAAGTGAAACTGGATTTGATGGCTTTTTAATAGTAAGCAGTGAAAGAGTCTAAGGTGACTGCTTGGCTCCACGCTGGGGCGAGTAAATACAACAAATATTATGGTACTAAAGACCTAGGTTGAGCAATAAGATAATGAGTTCCATTTTGAACACATTTGACTGTGTTTTCTCACTTCTCCACGTGCGATAACTGATGTTTTTCCAAAAGACTTAAGTACTATTTTTATGTAACCAATTGTGTTGTATGAATTTCATCTATGACGCATCATGGTTCATGCTAAAATTTAAAAGATCTTGAGCTGGAGACGCCTAGGTGGCTGAGCGGTTGAGCGAGCATCTGCCTTCAGCTCAGGTCATGATCCCGGGATCCTGGGATCAAGTCCCGCATCGGGCTCCCCGTAGGGAGCCTGTTTCTCCCTCTGCCTGTATTTCTGCCTCTCTGAGTGTCTCTCATGAATTAAATAAATAAATAAATAAATAAATAAATAAATAATAAATAAATCTTAAAAATAAAATAAAACACAAAAGATTTTGAGCTGAAAAGATAATCCGAGTTAAGTCCTCCATTTTATGTTTAAGGAGTCTAGATACCGGGATCCCTGGGTGGCGCAGCGGTTTGGCGCCTGCCTTTGGCCCAGGGCGCGATCTTGGAGACCCGGGATCGAATCCCATGTCAGGCTCCCGGTGCATGGAGCCTGCTTCTCCCCCTGCCTATGTCTCTGCCTCTCTCTCTCTCTCTCTCTCTCTCTCTCTCTCTCTCTCTCTCTTTCTCTGTGTGTGACTATCATAAATAAATAAAAAAAAAAAATTGAAAAAAAAAAAAAAAAAAAAAAAAAGGAGTCTAGATACCTTTAAAAAGACAAAATATTCCGGGAGATGATATGATCCCAGGTTTATGCCCAAGATACCCCATGAGGGCAATAATTAATACATTTAAATAAGATCTTTTTAAAGTTGAGGTATAAGTTCAATATTCCAGTTTTAAGTTTTATAATTGAAAAACAACATTTGAAAACCAACTGCTTTATTGAAAACCAAAATGCTACTACTAGTAGTATTGAATTCATAATATTTTACTTAACACCAGTCTTCCAAAACAATAGTGCCACCGTAGAATTTCTCAATCTCAGGGATCCCTGGGTGGTGCGGCGGTTTGGCGCCTGCCTTTGGCCCAGGGCGCGATCCTGATGACCCAGGATCGAATCCCACATCGGGCTCCCGGTGCATGGAGCCTGCTTCTCCCTCTGCCTATGTCTCTGCCTCTCTGTGTGTGTGTGTGTGTGTGTGTGTGTGTGTGTGTGTAACTATCATAAATAAATGAAAATTTTTAAAAAAAAATTTAAAAAAAAGAATTTCTCAATCTCATGTAATTCACATGAAATTTATTTTTACTAAGTAGTCTTCCTATCCTTACAAGAATTAAAATATTTGTGGAAAGTTTTCAGTTTTTAAGGATTTCACTTTTTCTACAAAAGGTATTGGCAAAAACGTCAAATATTGTCTAGCAGAATAACCAGTGAATTGTGCTAAATTTCCCAATTTATGTGAAAACATTTTAATGATTAGTCATTTTAGCTTTTTTCAATCTCACCATCACAGATTTTTAGAATGTGGACTTAAAGATTTCTTCTTAAAAAAAATTTAAAAATGGTAAGAGTTGAACAAAGTTTTGTTCCTCTTTAATAATTCATAAAATTTCAACAGGAATAAGTTCAAATGTTAGTTCTTAATCCATCAATCTGGCCTAATTTAAATGAGGCTCACAAACTATTCTGATTACAGTTGTTTCCACTAGATAGCCTTTCTCATGTCTATAATCCATATGTTTTCATTCAATTTTCTAGTAAAGGAGAAAAAGTAGAGTTTCTTCAGGTAAGAACTCTATTTAGCTTTATTTACATTTAAAGGAACCATGCAGTAACAGTCATTGTTTCTTTTGAGTCAAATCTTGAAGAGAATCCTAGATGTCCCTCTAGTGGTTGGTCCTATATTTCACAAAACTTGATGAGCACTGATAAAGTCCATTTTATGGTGATATATTGCTATAACAAACCTAGCAATCCGGTTTGTTTTTCAAAGCAGTTATCCTATGATGATAGAGTACATAATCTAGATTTAGAAAGTTTTAAGGCAAACCACAACAACATTCTAAAATTTCAGCAATGTGAATACAAATTCCATTTCTCCAAGAGTAAACTAGCCAATTTGGGGTCCTTTGCTTTCCAAGTGCCAAGTATTTCTGAGTAGTTGTGATTCAGCGTTCTCAGTTCAGTGAGCCTCCCTATGAGATGAGCAAAATGTTGTAGGTCTTCCGGATGATAAATTTTTGAATATTTGTACAAAATGTGTAAAATTGGTTCTTGTAAATTTTCCACATGTTGCTTATTTTTAAGGTGTGGACGATCTGAAAAACATCATCATATATATCTTAATGAATACTGGAAAGTGGTAGAAAATAATGAATTAATTTAGAACAGTACAGTTTGTAAATAATCAAAAGAGCAAATATTTGCCGAACTCTTAATATATACAAGATATTATGCTAAGTAACTTATTTCATGCAATGCCTTATTTAATCTTCATAGTATGCTATGAGTTAAGTTCTACTATTACCACTTTTTCTCAGACGAGCTTCATAAGATGTAGAGAAGCGAAGGGTCAGTAAGTGGTTGTAGGAATATAAGAGCAAGTTTCAAGCTTACTTGAAACTTAAAAAGATTAATTTCCTCAAGATCAATAGTAAGCAAAAGGCAAGCTTCTTAAGAACCTAGATATAAAACAGAAGAACCAACCAAGAATTTCTTAATGTTAAGCAGCAATTATCTATCCAGGCATTTTGGTGGAGATACAGCAGTGAGCATAACAGACATAATTTCCTGCCCTTTTTAAGCTTATATCCTGACTTTGGGAGGAGTCGGTGAGAAGAGATATATTCACATTTTAAATAAAAATATAATATGACAATATAAGTGTTATGGACTAAAATAAACAGAGAAAGGAATAAGAATTTAGGGTAGAAGGGCAGTAGCTATTTTTAAAAGGATAATCAGAGGTTAAATGACATTTAACAGAGATCTGAGATGAAGGAGAGAGGCATGTAGCTATCTGGGGAAAGAGCTTTCCAAACATATTTGTCCAACACAATACAACCTGTGGCAGGAACCTGCTTGACATTTTCAAGTAATACATGTTTCAAAAGTAATGTGGCGGTGGTGGTGTAAGCAAAAGGAACAGGAGTAGGAAATAATGGAAAGAATTCAGCTTTAATCTGTGTAGAACAGGAAGCCACGAAAGGGTTATGAGCAGAGAAATGAAATGATCTGGATTATGTTTTAAAGGAATAACGGGGGGGATCCCTGGGTGGCTCAGTAGTTTAGCACCTGCCTTCAGCCCAGGGCATGATCCTGGAGACCCGGGATCGAGTCCCACATTGGGCTCCCTGCATGGAGCCTGCTTCTGCCTCTGCCTTTGTCTCTGCCTCTGTGTGTGTGTGTGTGTCTGTGTCTCATGAAAAAATAAATCTTTTTAAAAAATAAAAATAATAAAGGAAAACTGACTACTATATAGAGAATAGACTCTAGGGAGGCAAGGGCAGAAACAGGAAAGCAAAAAAGGATACTAGTTTGAATTAGGGTAGCAGGGACAGAGTAAGAAGTGGTTGAGTTCTGAATATATTTTGAGGCTAGAGCTAACAGGAGGTGTTGCCTATTTGATAGAGCATAAGAGAAAGTAGTGAAGGATGACTTCACAAATTTTGGCTTGTGAAACTTGAAGGATGGAGATTCCGTTTAGTAAAGACGGAGGAATAATATAGGGGTTCAGGGGACAGATCGAGAGTTCACCTTGGGACATGTTAAATTTGATATGCCTACTACAAGTTGAAATCTTGAGTAAGCTATTTAGTGGAGCTTAGGAGAGCAGTTCAATGTGGTATATAACTTTGGGAGTTGTCAATATATAGATTATGTTTAAAGCCATGAGATGGGATGAAATTTCAAAGGGATCAAGTGTAGAAGAAAAAAGAACTGAACCCTAGGACACCCTTAACATTTATCTGTGTGGGAGATAAGGAGGAATTGACAAAGGGGTTGGAAAAAGCAGCCACTGAGGAGGAAAATCAAGAGCATGCGATGTCCTGGAAATCAAGGGGCAGGGGGAAATGTCTAGCAGGAGGGAGTGATCAACAGAAGCCAAGGGATGAAAGTTTTCCAAGAAAGAAGGATTTTTTTGCTCTGTCACATGAAGCTGATGAGCCAAGTACAATGAGAACTAAGATTGAACACTGTAAAAAAATAATCAGCAATCAGCAATAATCTTCAATAATACTGAAGATCTTGGACAAATTGTGGTGGAGTGGAAAGAAGGGGACAAAATATGAAGAATCTTGGACAAATTGTGGTGGAGTGGAAAGAAAGGGACAAAATACCCCCTGCAGTGGGTTCAGGAATAAATGGGAGAAATAAAGGGGGGAGTATAGACAACTATAAAAAAAATTCTGTAGAGTAGAACAGAGAAATGGGGAAAATAGCTGAAAGGGATTAGAAGTCAAGAAGGCATTTTTTTTAAAATGCAAGAAATTACAGCATGTTCATAAACTGAAGAGAATTCTCTCAGAGAAAATTTTGATGAAACTAAATTGTTACATTTGGCATCAGTGAATAATAACCACAGACATCATGATTTGATTGCCAAACTTAACCCAAATTTTTATTACTGAATGGTTTTTTTTACCTGAAAAAAACACGGTTGTTGCTGCAAGCAGAGCATATTCAATATTAGTAATATTAAGTTCACTCATTCTTCTATAGAAGTAAAACAGTGTAGTAATAAATTCTTCAGCAATACCTGAAAAGATTAATGTTAAATGTATTTTCATCAGACTATAGTGCAGAATCATATTACCATTATAATCTTTTTCTCAAAGCAGAATAATGAAACATTGTATCTGGCCAATATTTTCCATCCAATATAATATTTTGTATTGTATGTAAATATTACCAGTCAGTGTAGTAGGAAGACAGTCTTCATTGTGAAATGTTTCCACAGAATAAATAACATTTCTATTATCACTCTGATTATGAAAATTCAGTGAATGATCTGAATGATCTGCTATTCTCATGGTACCTAGTAACAGGGAAAAACATAAAGTCTGATTTTTAAAAAAAACTTTATACTGATAGTAAATTCAATCTCTCTAATCTTTTAGACAGGAAATATTCCCAACAATGGTAGCTTTATAATTTTTATTACTGAAACATGAACTGAAATTAATAGTTCATATTTTATATAAATTTTGTGTAGAAAACTGCAAAAATATGCTTTCCATGATGCCATAATTTTTTTTAAAAAAAAAGGTTTTCTTTAAAAGAAAAGCAGCAAAAGACACGAACAGAAATCTCACAGAGGGAGACATAGACATGGCCAACAAGCACATGAGAAAATGCTCCGCATCACTTGCCATCAGGGAAATACAAATCAAAACCACAATGAGATACCACCTCACACCAGTGAGAATGGGGAAAATTAACAAGGCAGGAAACTACAAATGTTGGAGAGGATGTGGAGAAAGGGGAACCCTCTCGCACTGTTGGTGGGAATGTGAACTGGTGCAGCCACTCTGGAAAACTGTGTGGAGGTTCCTCAAAGAGTTAAAAATAGACCTGCCCTACGACCCAGCAATTGCACTGCTGGGGATTTACCCCAAAGATACAGATGCAATGAAACGCCGGGACACCTGCACCCTGATGTTTCTAGCAGCCATGTCCACAATAGCCAAACTGTGGAAGGAGCCTCGGTGTCCATCGAAAGATGAATGGATAAAGAAGATGTGGTCTATGTATACAATGGAATATTCCTCAGCCATTAGAAATGACAAATATCCACCATTTGCTTCAACGTGGATGGACCTGGAGGGTATTATGCTGAGTGAAGTAAGTCAATCGGAGAAGGACAAACATGTTCTCATTCATTTGGGGAATATAAATAATAGTGAAAGGGAATAGTGGGGAAGGGAGAAGAAACGGGTAGGAAATATCAGAAAGGGAGACAGAACATAAAGACTCCTAACTCTGGGAAAAGAACTAGGGGTGGTGGAAGGGGAGGAGGGCGGGGGGTGGGGGTGAATTGGAGACGGGCACTGAGGGGGGCACTTGACGGGATGAGCACTGGGTGTTATTCTGTATATTGGCGAATTGAACACCAATAAAAAATAAATTTATTAAAAAAGAAGATGTGATCTATGTATACAATGGAATATTACTCAGCCATTAGAAACTACAAATACCCACCATTTGCTTCGACGTGGATGGAACTGGAGGGTATTCTGCTGAGTGAAATAAGTCAATCGGAGAAGGACAAACATTATATGGTCTCATTCATTTGGGGAATATAAAAAATAGTGAAAGGGAATAAAGGGGAAAGGAGAACAAATGAGCGGGAAATATCAGAAAGGGAGACAGAACATGAGAGACTCCTAACTCTGGGAAACGAACTAGGGGTGGTGGAAGGGGAGGTGGGCGGGGGGTGGGGGTGATTGGGTGATGGGCACTGAGGTGAGCACTTGATGGGATGAGCACTGGGTGTTATTCTATATGTTGGCAAGTTGAACAATAAAAAATAAATTTATTAAAAATAAATAAATAAAAATAATAAAAAAATAAAAGAAAAGCAGCTTAAAAGCTAGACCAATGAATTGGAAAAACTACTATGAAGTGATTATTCATAACTACACTAGAAAAACCAAAATATAATTAAAAAATAATGTTATGTAATTTATTGCCGTATTTTATAGTAACTGTTAACATTAAGATTGAATTGATTGGCCTTTTTTACTTTCAGAAGCTGATGAAAGACATTGTTTCTGACTGTAAAGTTGGGCCCCATGAAGGAACATCACTTCAGTTTTTGATCCTTTGCGTAATGCAGTCTGGTCCTCAATTGTCAAATTTTCAAATCCTTGAAGAAAAGATCACATAGTTGTTTGAAATCAATAATGAAAAGAAAATGTTCAGGTATATGATTTAATATTTTTAATTATTCATTTAGTTATAATATGAATCCTATGTGTTTCCCTAGAATAATCACTATTCGTAACTTCAAATCTGAACAAAATTCTTGATTACACGTGGTAGTATTTTGGAGCACTTTCATCAGAACTTGTAATACTTTAATATGAGATTTAATAAGAGCAAATGAAACACATTTTAGCCTCAAAGAATTTATTTTTACAGTGAGTTATCTACATGTAAATAGTTCTATTTTGGCCAACTGTAGCTTTATTTTTTCATATTGTACATGCAATTTTATTTCATATTTTATATAAAAAACAAAAAGTTTATTTCAAAACATTAAAAGATAACAATCATTATTTGTCTTGCTCTACATCTTTAGGGTCATTTAATATTTTTAAATATTTATATTTTCAACCACCTGATTGTTTTTGCTTTGTTTTGTTTTTAGAGAGAGAGAGTGCAGAAGAGGTGGGGAGGCGGGGAGGTAGAGGGATAGTAGGGCTAGAACTCACAACCTGAGATCATGACCTGAGCGGAAATCAAGAGTGGGATGCTTAACCAACTGAGCCACACAAGCACCACCCCCACACCTGATTATATAAAGCAGACAAAATGAATATGTTTTTGCATTTGAAAGCAGCTTTGGTAGAAAAATAGAGGTTTTTGTTTTCCTAAAATGTCCCCGTTCTTTAAAACAGGGAACTTTTTTGGGGGGCAGCCCGGGTGGCTCAGCGGTTTAGGCCACCTTCAGCCCAGGGTGTGATCCTCGAGACCCGGGATCGAGTCCTGCGTCGGGCTCCCTACATGGAGCCTGCTTCTCCCTCTGCCTGTGTCTCTGCCTCTCTCTGTGTGTGTCTCTCATGAATGAATAAATAAATAAAATCTTTAAAAAATAAAACAGGGAATTTTTTAAAAATTAAATATTAAATTACTTTTTTTTCCAAAGGTAAAGTGATTACCTGGGAGTTCCTTGGTAAAATCTATTAACCCCTGTAGGTGTAGAACCACTGTCTCTGAGAGTCGCAAAAAGCTCAGTTCAGGATTTGCATACTTCTGCAGCTAGCCAACAAAAATAAGATTAATATATTTTATTTCTTTCAACTAACTGTTTAAATTTTTAACTTTCATGTTTATGATCTTATTTTCTAACATAATTAGCTATAAATTATTTCTTGTAATTAATGAACACATACAAATTTCTTTGTTTCCTCCAAAGGAATTGTATATTTTTGATGAGCAGCCACAATGTTATTAATGAGCTGATGTTCCTCTTGAGTTAGTTCCATGCTCTCCTTAATCTATAAGAAAACATAAGGGAAAAACTATAATGAATTCTTATTAAGCAAGACATGTCATCATTAAAGAAACAAGAAATTTTATGAGTCTTGCCACTTTTCCAGATTTAGTGGTGGATGATACAAGCTTGTCTACTCCTTCCTCTTCCACTTTGATGCTAGAGTAAAAACTGTTCTTCTGTTTAAAGTTCTTTCGAAGTCTCTTTGATTTGCATTGGATTTCTGTGAGCAAACCTGTGATATTACAATTCATATAAAATGTTTTAGGTATGGCAAATAACATTATAGGATTTGATGTAAGTTGTCTTATACTGTATACACATATAATCATAGACTTGTCTTTTCATGAAGAACATTTCGTTTTTGGCACATATGTACACAGCAGTTAAATTTACTACATTACTTTCTCCTTTTCCTTCCATAAGTACCCTCTACCTAAAAGTACGCAGTCATCCTAAACATAAGTTGAAAATCAATTTTGCAACTCCAAATCATACATTTAGACCTTTTTATATTAGATAAATTTCCATATAAAGTATATCTTGGAAATGACATAAAATATCAATTGGTATAACAGTTCAACTACCTTATCTATGAGCTTTTTTTCTTTGATTTTTATATAAGGTCAAGAGAATATTTTGTGATTTTGTTAAATGAGCTAAGTCAATTTTTTCCTCGTAAGACAAGACAATGGTATTTGTTATGGCAGCCTGAGCAGTCTCAGACAGGGATAAAGTAAAGGATTCAGTCTGATTGGATAGGATAATCTTAAGATCTACTCCAATCCTGAAATTTTTTTTAAAGATTTTTAAGTAATCTCTATCCCCAACATGGGGCTCAAACTCACAACCCTTGAAATCAAAAGTCACATATTCCACCAACTGAGCTAGCTAGTCAGGCAGCCCTGACTCCAGAATTTTAAAGAATAGGAATCCTTTTGGTCAAGAACTTGAAAGAGCTTTGATTTTATTAAAATAAGCATATAATATAAACAACATTGCACTGGTGTTTGTTTAACAGGAGTATAATGTAATAAAAATTAAAGAATATTATCATAGCAGTTGGAGGTGGATTGAACTAAAAAGAGATAATGAAGAAATAGCCATGAAATTAATATAATAGTATAAGTGCAAGATAGTAAGAGTTTGTACCAGGCTAGCTTAGACATGAAAAGATAGTACCTTATTAAGAAAAATGAATTTTGAAATCACCATGACATTTTGGGCCCTGGAAAATAGGAGGAATTGAGGAAATAATGCCAAAATCTTGGTACTACTCTGAAGATTACAAGACATCATGTAATGTATAAGCTAAAAGTATTGTGAATTTAGAAGGAACTTAGCCAAGGTACCCTTCTGCCTGTTGAGTTGGGTTTTGACACCTATGATGAGTTAGTAGGCTCTACATACCTAGTTATCATGTAGGCTGCTAAAAATATAAGACCAAAGAAGGGGAACTACTAATTTAAAATTCTGCTCTTTACAGATACATAACTTTAAGTAAATATGAAAATTCAAGGATTTCCAATGAAGACGAACATACTAGTATTGCCAAAATTAAAGCAGTACAGTATAGAATAGGGTTTATGGAAATAATTACCTAGATTGGTTACCAGTTATCCTAATCTATCAGTTGGTAGAAAAATAGCTTAAATCTAGACAAAATGTTAATGTTCAAACTGATAACTTGAGGAATGCATTATGTTGTCAATAAAGTAAGAAAAAGTAAAATGCCCCCAAAAAAGAACCCCCAGAGTCAATAAATAACACTTACATTCTGCCAACATTCCCACTGCCTTACACTTTTTCAGTCTGCACTCTTGACATTTCCTACGCATGTACATGTCCATTTCACAGTGGCCACCATTCTTGCAATGATATACTGCATTTTTGGTAATGCTACGTCGAAAAAAACCTAATGACAAAAAAAAAGTACTCTTAAAATTTTACTTTAGATCTTTTCAGTTTTTACTACCTTCCTAATAAAGTAATCAAAATAAATTATTTCAATAAAATGTTTTTTTCCATCAATAAGATTTGGTTTAATATACATTTATATTACTTCATGATTGATATCTTCTAATTCCAAGATTGTTCCTTTCAATAATCACATCTTTAAATAGTTCCATCACATTACGATAACTTTCTATTTTATTATGGTTATATCATCTAAAAGCATTTTTACAACTCTATTGTACAGAATGCCAAGATTCCATGAAGCATCTTTCAAGATGCACTTGAAAGAATATATGGTCATGTAAAACTAGAAGGAAAATCTCTCTTCTTCTCTCCTCATATTTCCACTTCAAAACTTACTCCTCTATCCTCCTTCCTTTCGTAGCACTCCCAAGGATGAGAAAATATTTTTAGGTTATTTGGTCTGAGACATTGAATAGGCTGTGTTATGTGTATGTGTGTTTTGGTAGAGGTGTTTATATTTTCTTTCTCTTCCTAAATCCTTCCATAGCAGTCCCCCTTCCCAATTCCTCTTTCATTACCCATTCCAATGCAACAATCTTCTCTGTATCTTCCTTAATCTATTCCAAGCAGTAAAGTTGATAAGCTTTGTCAATGCCCCCATAGAGACCTGTGATGCCTTTTTCTGTAGACACACTTGAGAGTGAGAGTTTCATGCATTAGATTCATCAAAGGGAATAGAAAGCTCGGCCTAAGTTTTCCAGAACTATGCCTCCTCTTCTACCTAGCTTTAACGGCAAGGCCTTGCATTTTAAGAGTAAGCAAATATTTGCCCAGTTATTCTATTCATGAAGCTGGTACCTCATTTTCCACAGTCTTCATTTGGCTATTCTTTGTGACCGGTGAGTTATGAAATTCTAACAGTAAATGTTCACCCTGAACTTCCAACAGACTTGTTTACCAAGTGCTGCATCAGCCTAATCATTTCCAGGTTCTGTCCCAACATTGCATTTGTAAACAAAAACAATGCAGAAGTGTTTCAAAACTTCATCGAGGACTATTTCACTCTGAAAACTTCATTGTCACTGATGATCTTCACTTGCAAACCCCCCATTTGTTTTCAAAAAAAGCATTCAAAGAAATTAAAATAGAATCATAGAAGTCATTTAATTCAAATTCCCTTATAATGTATGAATTATATCAACCACATGAGAAGATATAATAATGTTCAGATATTTTTTTAAATAATTTTTTGAAAAAGATTTATTTACTTACTTACTTACTTGAGACAGAGCAAGCGCCCTGGCATATGCATGGGGCAGGGACAAACAGACTGTGAGCCAAGTGCAGAGCCCCACTCAGGGCACAATCCCACCATCCAAGGTCACAACCTGAGCTGAAACTAAGAGCCAATTGCCCAACTGACTGAGCCACCCAGGCACCCCTAAAAATCATTTTCTATTCCAATATCAGATTCATCTAAGAACATAGCTTCTATGTATAAATGTTAGATTTTATATTTATTTTTTTATTTTATATTTAAATGTAAGTTTTTCATCAAAAATAAAACCAAATCAAAACTTTATTACATTCCATTTTCATGTCTTTTATGACACAGATTACCTTTAATGGTATCAATGGCTCTCCGTGGTTTTATTTTTCACACTTTAAAAAGTAAGAGTATTCTTACATGCCTAAAATTTCATGACTCTTCAGAGAACACTAGGACTTCAGTTTTAACTTTATCCTTACCTTTGCAACCTTCACAAGTAAGCGCATTATAATGATATCCTGATGCTTTATCACCACAAACTACACAGAGTTCTTCCTGTCGCTTAAGCTGAATAGAAGAATGCGTTAGTCTGGACCTTTTTATTCCAGAGTATCCGTCTTCAGCATCATGGTCAACCACAAAGGTGGGTTTGCTTAATTCATAGGAACCAAATCCACATTCTCCACCACTGAACTGTGGATCCAAGCTATAAGAGCTGAAGTGACTTTGTAAAGATTGGGTCTGTAGAGCTGATGGAAACTGGACAGTAGAATACTGGCAATAAGGTGATTCTTGAAAATCAGTGTCGTGCAGCTGATAATTGATTTGCTCTGGCAGAATATCTATTTTTACCATAAAAAAAACAAATGGTAAAAAATCAAAATTTCATAATTGTTTTCAAATGTCAAAGAGTTTTATGCTCAACAGTTAGTACCACATGTCCACTACATCCTAGGGACTTGCTGTCCAGCATGAGAAGGAGGTAGTAAACTGAACTGCAATGCATCAGGAGTACTGCCATCCCCGTGGTATGCAGAGGTTGCTCAGGAGCTGAGAGAAAGGGCAGCTAATGGCCTGCATAACAATCCAGTCTCCTTTTTTTTTTTTTAAGATTTTATTTATTCATGAGAGCCAGAGAGAGACAGAGACAGAGAGGCAGAGACACAGGCAGAGAGAGAAGCAGGCTCCATGCAGGGAGCCCGATGTGGGACTCAATTCTGGGACTCCAGGATCACGCCCTGGGCCGAAGGCAGACGCTAAACCGCTGAGCCCCCCAGGGCTGCCCCTCCAGTCTCCTTTCTTAAATAGAAATGCATTATTTCCCATGGTTTGAAAAGAAAGAAGGGTCTCCCCATCTTTTGCATTTCCCTTGTGTGGATACAACTGTTTGCAGTACAGTCAGGTCGATAAAGAGATAAATGAGTAAATTATCCCACTCCCCCCAAAAAAATCAAACTAAAATACAATTTTACCAACTACCTCGTTATTTCAAGCAAAAAAAAAAAAAAGTTTTCTTTTGAACTCTGCATTTAATATACCTTAACATTCTCCTTTGCCATTTGTAGACCTGATTTAAATTACTCGTTTCTTTTGTGTTTTGTTGACTATCAATTCTAACCAGCAATTATCTGGAGATAAATTCACCTACCTCACTAGGTTACTATAAGGATGAAACAAAATAGGGTATGCAAAAGCATATATAATATATAAAATGATGCTTAATGAATATCATTATTATAATTATCAGAAGCTCCCAACACCAACTTACTTTCTTTTTTGAGATGTATTTATTTATTTCAGGGAGAGAGAATGAGAGAGGGCATCCCCCAACTGGGGGAAGGGCAGAAGGAGAGAGAGAATCTTTGGGCAGACTCCCCACTGACCAAGGAGCCTGATAGAGGGCTTGATTCCCAGACTCTAAGATCTTGCCCTCAACCAAAATCAAGAGCTGGCTGCTTAACTGGACTGAGCCACCCAGGCACCAAAAACTTAAACTTACTTTCTGCTTTCAGGAAAACCTCTTTCTTTCTTTTTTTTTTTTTTTTTTTAAGATTTTATTTATTTGTTCATGAGAGACACAGAGAGAGAGGCAGAGACACAGGCAAAGGGAGAAGCAGGCTCCATGCAGGGAGCCCGATGTGGGACTTGACCCTGGTTCTCCAGGATCAGGCCCTGGGCCAAAGGCAGCATTAAACCACTGAACCAACCGGGCTGCACCTGCTTTCAGGAAAATTTCTAAATCTAAATTCAGAAAATTGGCTCCAAAAGGACCCAGAAATACTGAGTTGCTCTATATCTGTAACTAGTAATATTTGTACTTTTCCTGATACTGAGTCAGGTGATTAAACTTACTTTTAACCTCAAAATTCTACCACCAAGATTGGTAAACAGTATAATTTTTATTAACTCACATAAATCACTTGCAAACTTACAGCATTCAGTCTAACGCTAACTGTTGAATAAATATTAATGACAGCCTAATATAAAAAAGAAAGGCTATCAGTAAAAACAATGTAACTTTTTTTAAAGACGAGGGCCCTTCTTGAATGAGTGTCAAAAGACTGCATGGAGAATACTAACTGATTTTCCATTGGCATGGAAATTAGAATGGAGACCCTAACCCTAACCTTCACTCTAAAAGAAAACTGCATTTAAGAATAAATTTATCTTATTGCCTTAGTCTTTTCAGAGAAAATTCCTATTGTATCCTGCATTCTGTTTCTATTTTGTTCCCTTTGCTAGAAATCTTACAGTAAGATGAAAATTTCAAGGATACTTAATAGCTACTCTGAGCCACATTTACTAAATTGCTTGTGATCTAGCTTCAACTAGCCCTAAAATAACTTCTAATTTGCATGTTAATTCAAATTTTAAAAATTAAATACAATTTTAAGCTATCATGCATTTCCCTCTTTACATCTGATCCTGGCTTACAACATTGTAGTATTATTGATTTTTTTGTAATTAATTATATTCTTTTATTGTTTTTTTATTTTAATTCCTCTAATAGGAAATAATGTAAAATCATTGGTGTACTTATTAATTTCTCTTTTAAAAAACTCCATAATTAACCATAATGTCACACCAAAAGTGTTTTATTAACACTGTAGTGTTTATTAATACTGTAGCTTTTTGTTACATACCATAGTACTGCACTGGTTCAGCAAGACAGTACCCATCAGATGTAGTGACATAAGTATTTGCCATTCTCTGCTCCAATTCTCACTTATTCATCAGTGAATGCTGAAATAGAACTAAAGGAAACAAAATTTTTGTAGGCTATTTAAAAGTATGACTATCAAATCAGCATGATTTTATAAAAAGTAAAATACTATTTTTGAAAAATAGTTTAGTAGAATCTATACATTAGACATATTTATCCTTTAACTGGAGAAATATTTTTATATCTCTACACACCAAATTATTAGTTCTGCCAGTTTCTTATTCCTCAGCTCTTTACAAATAACTCAGTAATTCTTGGTAATAATCAAGGTGGCTTTTGAAAGTGTACCAAGCTTTCATGTTAGGTCTCATACACTGCTTTCACCACTTATTTATGGGTTACTCATTAAATCTCCTTAAACCTTAGTTTTGTCATTTGTGAAAGAAAAATAATTAAAAACCCCTAGCAAAATTGCTGGGAGAGTTTAGTTAATGCATGTAAAACCCAGAAGTTCTTGTCTTAATAACTGATTCTCATAATTGCTATTCTTTTTTTTTTTTTAGATTTTATTTATTTATTCATGAGAGAGTCAGAGACACAAACACAGGGAGAAGCAGGCTCCCTGCAGGGAGCCCAATGCAGGACTTGATCCCAGGACCCTAGGGTCACAACCTGAGCCAAAAGCAGATGCTCAACCCTGAGCCACCCAGGCATCCCTCATAATTGCTATTCTAATAATTTCAAGATCTCAGTGTTCAAATTTAGGTGAATTAGGAAGAAAAATTAGACTTTTTCATGAAGGAAATTAAGGAATAGGAAAAAATGGCTTTCATAGCACTTGTTTTAATCTAAGTCCTCTCTAAATATTTTTCATAGCCCTAAACCCTGGAACATTAATTTTGATCCTGCTTGACTAAATAAATTTTATTTTTTTATTTAAAAAAGTTTATGGGGGCAGCCCCAGTGGCACAGCAGTTTAGCGCCACCTGTAGCCCAGGGTGTGATCCTGGAGATCCGGGATTGAGTCCCCCGTCGGGTTCCCTGCATGGAGCCTGCTTCTCCCTCTGCCTGTGTCCCTGCCTCTCTCTGTCTCTCTCTCTCTCTCTCTGTCTGTCTCTCTCTCTCTCTCTCTCTCTCTCTCTCTCTCTCTGTGTGTGTGTATCTCAATGAATAAAATATTTAAAATAAATAAATAAATAAATAAATAAATAAATAAATAAATAAATAAATAAAGTTTATGGGTTACTGGAAAAAGTGTTTTATTTTTAATAGTAAAGCCTAAAAACTAAAATGAACCACTCAGGAAACAACAGATGTTGGCAAGGATGAAGAGAAAGGGGAACCTTCTTACACTGCTGGTGGGAATACAAAGTGATGCAGACACCCTGGAAAAGACTATGGAGGTCCCTCAAAAAGTTAAAACAGAACGATCCTGTAACCCAGCAATTGCACTACTAGATATTTATCCAAAGGATACAAACATAGTGATTTGAAGGGGCACGTGAACCCCAAAGTATATAGCAGCAACATCCACAATAGCCAAAATATGGGAAGAGCCCAGATGTCCATCACCAGATGAATGAATAAAGAAGATGTGGTGTATGTACAATGGAATATTACTCAGCCATCAAAAAGAATGAAATCTTGCCATTTGCAATGATGTGGATGGAACTAGAGAGTATTATACTAAGCGAAATAAGTGAACATAGGGAAAGGGAAAGAAAAATAAGATGAAAACAGAGAGGCAAACCATTAGAGACTCTCAACTATAGAAAACAAACAGGGTTGCTAGAGGGGAGGTGGGTGGGGGGATGGGGTAACTGGGTGATGGGCATTAAGGAGGGCACTTAATGAGCATTGGATGTTATAGGCAACTGAGGAATCACTAAGTTCTACACCTAAAACTAATAATACAGTATATATTAACTAAACTGGATTTAAATTTAAAAATTTTTTAAAAAGGTAAAGCCTAAAAATTATAAACTATTATGAGAAAAAAATTATTCAAAATCTAAGACTATCCCTTAACAGGAAAAGCTATTTACTTTTATTTCCTAGAAAGGAACTCCAAAAATTTGAATTAACTTAAACAGGAAATCACAGTTTAAGAAACTGAAGATCACTCTAGATTCCATCGTCTTTTATAGCTTTATCCTTTCTATTAAAGATAGACTATTTTCACCCTTAAAAAGAATCCCCCAAAAAAAGAAAATGGGTTTTAAATAATGCAAAAAATTTATGTGACAAACTTCTTAGCCTCTGAGATTATATTGAAAAACCTTTTCCTTTGATTTATTACTCATGTGAGGGCTTCATGGCTGAGGTTTCCATCTTCATATCCATGAAGATGATTTAAATAGTATTATCTCTGAAATTTTTCCTTTTATCATCTAATAGAATGTTTGTTCCTTTATCTTTTTTTTTTTATAGATTTTATTCATGAGAGACACACAGAGAGAGGCAGAGACACAGGCAGAGGGAGAAGCAGGCTTCCTGCAGGGAGCCCAATGCAGGACTCAATCCCAGGACCCTGGGATCACAACCTGAGCCAAAGGCAGATGCTCAAACACTGAGCCACCAAGGCACCCCATATGTAATGTTCCTTTAAAAGTGCTTAAATCTCCGTCTTCTGACAACATAGCACCAGTTCTATAGAATGAGCACTGGATGGAAGAGATGAAGCAAAAGCAGTGCCCCCAAATAAGCAAAACTTCAATATGAAGTTTTCCTTGAAAAGTCACGACTAAAATCAATAAAATCAGCATACACTTGTTTTTTTAACTTTTACTGACTTATAATAATCACACACACAGAGAGAGAGAGAGAGGAGAGAGAGAGAGAGAGAGAGAGGCGAGAGGAGGGAGAAGCAGGCTCCATGCACTGGGAGCCCGACGTGGGATTCAATCCCGAGTCTCCAGGATCGCGCCCTGGGCCAAAGGCAGGCGCCAAACCGCTGCGCCACTCAGGGGTCCCTACACTTCTGTTTCTATATTGCAACAGGTCAGTTGACTCTCCATAGAAAAATAATTCTGAATGCTATCCATTTAATTTGTGTGATACTTTCTAGCAATGGTCCTGTTCAGTTCTTTCCAAACTTCTCTTTTGAGCGTCAGTTAGACTTTAGAAAACTATGTGAAAACTTGAACTTGTTATTCACCTTCTTCTAAAATGGCTGCACTTACTACCCTTAGGCTTCAAATAATATTGAATATCTTAAGAAGACTGAAAATTATTAAGTATTTGGTATTACTTAGAGACTTTGCTGAGACTTTGAAAAATAATTTAGAATGGGGATCCCTGGGTGGCGCAGCGATTTGGCGCCTGCCTTTGGCCCAGGGCGTGATCCTGGAGACCCGGGATCGAATCCCACGTCGGGCTCACGGTGCATGGAGCCTGCTTCTCCCTCTGCCTGTGTCTCTGCCTCTCTCTCTCTCTCTCTCTCTCTCTCTCTCTCTGTGACTATCATAAAATAAATAAAATAAATAATAAAATAAACAGTATTATACTTTAAAAAAAAGAAAAATAATTTAGAATGAACATAGGTAGCTCACTAAAACAAAATTGATGATACCCTGACAAAGACACACCATAGGTATCTTATAGTGACTTATAAGTGATCCTGTAGTGAGCCACAATCAGGATTCAAATTGTAAATAACAATGTTGTGAAACCAAGTCCTTCCAATACTGGTAAGTAAACACCCAAAAATATTATCTAAAGCAGACCTGTTTGGGTTTCTTTAAGCTTATTGATTTATTTAAGTAATCTCTACACCCAAAGTGGGGTTCAAACCCACGATGAAATCAAAAGTGGCATGCTTTTCCAACTAAGCCAGCCAGCACCCCATAGCAGACCTTTTTTTATGGACTAGTCATCCAGGGCATACATGGGACATATACATAAATAAGCTTTTGATTACAAATATGCCTTTTAAAATATGAAATATTAATCTCTTTTATAAGTTCATAGTAATACTGTGTTATTTTCTACATAAAATTTTTCACTAATTAGATGTTCTTGAGCTTTTAGATATTTAATAGAAGTATTATGTATGCATAATAAAACAAAACTTTCAGAAATAAACTATTCATACAATTAGTTTAAGAACACTTAAGTAGATTATAAATAGCATAGAGGGAGGTATATAATCAAAAACTTCCTATCTTATTAAACAAGTTACAATAGGCCTGAAGTGATCCTGTTTTGTTATCTTTCCTAGTAAATATTTATTTAAAAACAAAAATAACTCAGTTAAGAGAGGAGCTTTTATCAAGAAGATCAATTTGGCATGGGAAAAGTCTGTATTTTTTTCATTAAAAATTTAATTATACTAAAAAGCTATAGTTTTAATAGATTACAATAGCTATTTTACTGAAGAGATGCGTAATTGCAGAAATGAATTTGCTTCTCCCCTGCCTTAACTAGAAATTATGCTTAGTAAATCTTCATATAGCTGGAACATTAACAGGAAAAACATATGGACTCCTGAGAACTATTTCTACATGTTTTTTTTAAAGATTTTATTTATTTATTCATAGAGACAGAGAGAGAGGCAGAGAAACAGGCAGAGGGAGAAGCAGGCTCCACGCAGAGAGCCTGACGTGGGACTCGATCCAGGGTCTCCAGGATCATGCCCTGGGCTGCAGGCGGCGCTAAACCGCTGAGCCACCAGGGCTACCCTATTTCTACATGTTAAAAGAATTTTACTATTTTTACATTTTTACTCTTGCAATATATGTCACTTGAATCATGAATAATGCATTGCATAAAATTAATATAACTGAAAAGTAGATGGCTTCACAAGAAAAACATTTCAGTTTTCATGAGTAGCCTCTACTTTAAAAAAAGAATGATAGTGCTCTATGATGCATAATTATAAACAAGTTTTTCATAGCAGAGCTTCTTTGAGTCAAAATTCTCTGAGCTTGTTGGAACCAAGGGAATTGAAAATGAAAAGGATATATTTGAATAACAGCACAAATTAAGGCTTCTTGATTCCTTTATACAAATCTGTCCTTTAACCTTAGAATACTGGGAGGATTTTACACCCTGAAATCTTCACATAGAGTTTTATTATATAGTTTTATTGAAATGTAATTTACATAACATAAAATTCACTCTTTTAAAATGTACATTTCTTGGTTTTTAGAATATTCACAGAGTATGCAACTATAACCACCATCTAATTCCAGAGCATTCTTATTACTGCAAAATGAAATCCCACACCCATAAGCAGTCACTCCCCATTCTCTACCCACCCTCCCATCCCTAGCAACCACCAATCCACTTTCTGTGTTTCTATGTATTTGCCTATACATATAAATGGAATCATACAATTCTATATATAGTTTTAAATGAAAAAGGTATTTAATTAATATTATTGCAAGTAATTTCCACAGCTTAAGAAAAATAGAGAAATCAGACTATACATTTAGAAAATTCAAGACTATGAAATTAATGTATATCTCCAGAGATATAGAAATATATTTTGCATCTATTTACCTAATTTGGAAGAATTTTTATAATTAGCATTTGGAATAGAAGTGTAATCCCCTAAACACACCTCTATCAGAACATATTTATTTCAAGTTGCCTTGAATTCACATATAACCTATAGTTTCAAAAAATAAAATTTTAAGAATAAGTTCTTGATTGAAAACTAGTTTCATTTTTAAAACGTAAGAGTAAATATCACTATGAATCAACTTACATTATTACATCAAATGTCCAAATGTCCTGAAGTCCAACTACAGTCCAAAATTGCCTTGTCATTCTTCAGGGAAAACCAAACCACTGTGTAATCCATTTAGATTTCCTTTTTTCAAGGGGCAAATGCTTTTTATAGCTTCAGTATGGTAGTAACAACAATTGGCTTATTCACTTTGCAGAAGCTAAATTAACAATGGTGGAAACTAAAGAAGTCCAAAAATACCTTTAACATCTTAGAGTTTAAGAATAGTCTCAATTGCCAAAAAAAAAAACATTCATATTTAATTGACACAGCATAAAATTATAAAATTTTGGTTTTTGAGAGAAGACAAAATACTCACAGTTGAATGATATTACAAGACTGTCGTTTTCTTCACAAATCAAGTATAGAGAGATTTAACGACGACTTCAATTTTCCAGCTGGAGCAAACTGGACCTTTTCCCCCATTTATCAAGGAGCCGAGAGGGGGGCACTCTGCGTACACTTAGGCTCCAGACACTCTGCAGAGCAACTCTTCAGCTCTATCTCAGAGACAAACTTCCCACACAGTCCTCTCTTGGGTCAAAACAAGGGCAGTTATTATTTGACATAAATCAAATAATAACCAGATCATCAGGGATAGAGGTCCTTGGGACCTTCAGGTCACACTCTCCCAGAGTTCTTTATTGTTTACTTAATAAATATTTTGTTTTCTTGATTAAATTTGACATTCTTCCATTTTGGTTGCAAAACACTGGCTCTCTAGAAACTCCTAAGCAATATGCACAGAAAAGGAAAACCCCTCAGTAATTCAAACTCTACTAATACAGGTGGTATAACAATTCAACTTGAAGTTTATTGTCGCATTACCTACCCAAAAAAGGTGTTAATCCACTTAGAAATGTGAATAATAATTCAGACTGGTACATCATATGTGTACAAGTCACCTAGTCCAACCCTCTTAATTTTTTGGCTCAGAAAGACTGCAACACAGATAGATAACCATGTTCAAGTTCTTATAGCTAGTTAGTAGCAGAAGTAAACCTCCATGAAAATGCAAGCAGTTGAACAAGATATATAAATAAGTTCACTATAATTTTTAATATCATTTACATAAAGTTTGTTGGATACCAGGCTCATAGTCTCACCCCTGGAAGGCATTTCTACAGAGGCAAGGTTACAAATGCATTCCACCACTAAACTCCCAATTCTCTACTAGTCACACTTCCTCTGACTCACCTATTTTACAGGACTCTAGGCTTTAGTCTCTAGTCTCTAGTCTCTGTCCTCCCAGTTCTACTTTTGCATTAGTGGCACAGGAAACACTTTTCTATCTTTCTTGGCATCTGATCTCAGTCCATATCATGTTTCTGGCTTCACAGCTACTATATTGATTCTGCATTCTTCAAGGGTTCTTATCTACTACTGGGAAGAATTCATGAGAAAATCTACAAGTCATGTCACATGAGTTTTATTTTTTAAAATAACAGACGCTGTGTCTGTGAATTTTAATCAGTGAACCAAAAAATAAGAGTTCCAAAATTATAATTCATTTATTTGATTCTAAAATATTCAAAAAACAGGCTCCAAATTATGTCTTAAAAGAAGTGACTAGTAGAAACCTTACAATGAAATATAGCAAAACAAACATACAGTACTTGATGTGTTTTAAAAGCAATGCTTAACTTCTAAATATTTACCAGGAACATTTGTTTCTTAAAAAAACACGTTTTTAAAAGAACTTCAACCCTTTCATTATTAGTATACAAATATCAGGGATAACTTATAAATTATTTTATCATTATTTTTAATGTTTTAATTGAGGTATAATTGACATAAAACATTACATTGGTCTCAGGCTTACAACATAATCATTCAAATATTTGTATGTATTGTGAAGTGATCAATATAATAAGTCTGGTTAATGTCTGTTGCCATAAACAGTTACAAACTTTTTTTCTTGTGATGAGGACTTTTAAGATCTACTCTCTTAGCACTTAGCAAATATGCTATAAGTATAGTATTAAGTATAGTCACTATCTTGTACATTACATCCCCATGAGTTATTTATTTTGTAGCTGGAAATTTGTGCCTTCTGATTCCCTTCACCCATTTTGCCCACCCTCTACCCTCCAACCCCCAGAAACCACTGATCTGTTCTCTGTATCCAAGAGCCTGGTTGTTCTATTTTGCTTTTTTAAGATTCCACATATAATTGAAATCATGTGATATTTGTCCTTGTCTGCCTTATTTCACTTGGCATAACACCCTCAAGGTCCATTCATGTTGTTGTAAGCATAAATGGTATATATATGGTGTGTATATATACATATATATTATATATTATATTGGTATATATTGTGTATATATCATATATATTATTAGTATATATATTATATATATATATTATATTTTTATCCATTCATCCATCACTGGACACTTACGTTGTTTCCATATGTTGGCTATTGTAAATAATGCTGTAATGAACGTGTGGGTGCAGATATATTCTTGAGTCAGTATTTTCTTTTTTGTTTTTTCAGATAAATACCCAGAAGTGTGATTTCTGGGTCCTACAGTAGTTCTATTTTTAATTTTTTTTTTTTGTGGATTGTGGAGGGTTTTTTTTAAAACTTAATTTATTTTAGAGAGAGAGAGGGAGAGCACAAGAGCAGGGGGAGGGGCAGAGGGAGAGGAAGAGAGAGAATCCTCAAGCAGACCCCCGCCTAGTGGGGAGCTGAGCCACCCAGACACACCCCCTTCTTTTAAAGGCTCTATTTTTAACTTTTTGAGGAACCCCCCACACTGTTTCCCCTGGTGGCTGCACCAATTTACATTCCCACCAACAGTATACAAGGATTCCCCTTTCTCCACATCCTAGCCAACACCTGTTATTTCTTTCTTTTTATTATACACATTCTAAGAGGTGTAAGATGTTATCTCACTGTGGCTTTGATATGCATTTCCCTGATAATCAGTGATGTTGAGCACCTTTTCTTTTCTTTTTTTTTGTATATGTGTTTATTGGAGTTCAATTTGCCAACATATAGCACAACACCCAGTGCTCATCCTGTCAAGTACCTGCCTCAGTGCCCGTCACCCAATCACCCCAACCCCTGCCCACCTCCCTTTCCACTACCCCTTGTTCGATTCCCAGAGTTAGGAGTCTCTCATGTTTTGTCACCCTCACTGATATTTTCACTCATTTTCTCTCTTTTCCCCTTTATTCCCTTTCACTAATTTTTATATTCCCCAAATGAATGAGAACATATAATGTTTGTCCTTCTCTGATTGACTTACTTCACTCAGCATAATACCCTCCAGTTCCATCCACGTCGAAGCAAATGGTGGGTATTTGTCATTTCTAATGGCTGAGGAATATTCCATTGTATACATAGACCACAGCTTCTTTATCCATTCATCTTTCGATGGACACCGAGGCTCCTTCCACAGTTTGGCTATTGTGGACATTGCTGCTATAAACATTGGGGTGCAGGTGTCTCAGTGTTTCACTGCATCTGAATCTTTGGGGTAAATCCCCAGCAGTGCAATTGCTGGGTCGTAGGGCAGGTCTATTTTTAACTCTTTGAGGAACCTCCACACAGTTTTCCAGAGTGGCTGCACCAGTTCACATTCCCACCAACAGTGCGAGAGGGTTCCCCCTTCTCCACATCCTCTCCAACATTTGTTGTTTCCTGTCTTGTTAATTTTCACCATAATCACTGGGGTGAGGTGGTATCTCATTGTGGTCTTGATTTGTATTTCCCCGATAGCAAGTGATGTGGAGCATTTTCTCATGTGCTTGTTGCCATGTCTATGTCTTCTTTGGTGAAATTTCTATTCATGTCTTTTGCCCATTTCATGATTGGATTGTTTCTTTGCTGTTGAGTTTAATAAGTTCATTATAGATCTTGGATACTAGCCCTTTATCTGATATGTCATTTGCAGATATCTTCTCCCATTCCGTAGGTTGTCTTTTAGTTTTGCTGACTGTTTCTTTTGCTGTGCAGAAGCTTTTTATCTTGATTAAGTCCCAATAATTCATTTTTGCTTTTGTTTCCCATGCCTTCATAGATGTATCTTGCAAGAAGTTGCTGTGGCCAAGTTCAAAAAAAGTGTTGCCTGTGTTCTCCTCTATGATTTTGATGGAATCTTGTCTCACATTTAGATCTTTCATCCATTTTGAGTTTATCTTTCTATATGGTGTAAAAGAATGGTCTAGTTTCATTCTTCTGCATGTGGATGTCCAATTTACCCAGCACCTTTATTGAAGAGACTGTCCTTTTTCCAGTGGATAGTCTTTCCTGATTTGTCAAATATTAGTTGACCATAGAGTTGAGGGCCCATTTCTGGGTTCTCTATTCTCTTCCATTGATCTATGTGTCTGTTTTTGTAAAGCTGAGCACCTTTTCATGTACCTATTGGCCACCTCTAGATCTTCTTTGAAAAAATATCTGTACAGATCCTCTGCCCATTTTTTTTAAAGATTTTATTTTCAGGATTTTATTTTCCCAACATGGAGTCTAAGCCCACAAACCTGAGACCAAGAGCAGCACACTCCACCCACTAAACCAGCCAGGTGCCCCTCTCTGCCCACTCTTTAATCAGATTGGTTGGGTTTTTTGCCATCAAATTATATGAGTTCTCTATATATTTTGGATATTAACCCCTTAATAGATATATGATTTCCAAATGTGTTCTCCAGTTCAGGTGGTTGCCTTTTCATGTTGTTGATTTTGATGATTTCCTTTGCTGTGCAGAAGCATTTTGGTTTGATGTAGTCTCGTTTGTTTATTTTTGCTATTGTTGCCTTTGCTTTTGGTGTCAGAAAATCATCACCAAAAAATCATCACCAAAAAATCATCACCAAAACCAATGCAATGAGCTTCTAGCCTATTCTTTCTGCTAGGGGCTTTATAAATAACTTTTATTATTTAGACAATTACCAATTTTAATCGCTACTTCTAACTATAATTTTAGCTTCTGTATTCAAATGATATATCTTAAATGCTCAATGATTCAAACTTTTCATTAACTCATTTTAACATGACCATTTACACCCTCAATCCCACCCATATTATGTCTAAGATATTACAGTTAATTGGCAACAAGCTTCCTTATTTAGTTTTGCAAATAATAATTCATTCAGGACTTTACTGTCACAAAATTTTACATGTACTTCCCTGGTTTATAATAATACCCTAGACTCACTGTGATATTAGCACAGCACTTATTCCAAAGTACTTGAAAATATGTGCAAATATATGTTAATATTTATAATAGGGAATGCAGAACATATTTTTAAACTTTATACAGACTACTGACACTTAGCACTCTATAATTACATAGTTCCCTGATACTCCTTAATAAGCATAAATGGGGTAATCTGAAGTTTATTCTTTTTATACAGTCATTCACTAGGCAGCTAGCCCAGATAGTTAGATACATGCCATTTAAAATAAATATTAACATTGTTATCATTACATGCCATTTAAAATAAATATTAACATTGTTACCTTATCAGTAACAATCTAAAGAGTTATAAATCTAATCAACTAGTTTGCTATAAAGTTGGAAGTGTCATTAAGGAAGGCTCTTGAGGAGATGGCATCCAAGCCAAGACCTAGAGGATGAGAAAAAGCCACAGGAAGAGCAGAGAAATGAGTGGTTTAGTGGGAACAACACATTGTTGTCTGTTGGCTTGTGTAACATTGAAAGAAGTTCAGTGTGGTGAGTGGACAGAGAAGACAACTTTAGCATAAGATGATACTTGAGAGAAAATAAAAAACAGATTTCCCCCTATTTTTCTAAATTTTTATTTAAATTCCAGTTAGTTAACATAAGAGCTTTAGAGAGAAGTCTGAATTTTATTCTGGGTATAATAAGAAATCATTGAAGGATTCAACAGAGAAAAGGCACATAAACTGAAGTATATTTTTTTGTTTTCTTTTTTCTTTTAAGATTTTTATTTTTAAGTAACGTCTCCACCCACTGTGGGCTCCTTGGAATTTTTTCCTGTAGACAATTGTGTCATCTGCAAATAGAAATAGTTTTATTTCTTTTTTCCATTCTGTAGGCCCAGGGTCCTAGGATCAAGCCCCACATCAGGCTCCCTCCTCAGCAGGGAGGCTGCTTCTCCCTCTGCCCCTCTCCCTACTCATGCTCACTTTCAAATAAATAAATAAATAAATAAATAAATAAATAAATAAATAAATAAATATTTAAGAAATTTTACAATTAACATCACACTTAATGCTAAAAAAAATAAATGCTTTCTCCCTAAGATTGGAAACAAGATAAGGATGTCTATTCTCACCACTGTTATTGAGCATACTACTTGAAGTTCTACCCATCACAAAAGTCAAGAAAAGAACTTAGAGAAGCTAATGCTGGAGATAATAATCTGAAAGTTTTCAGGATATTGATGGTATTTAAAGCTGTCAAAGTATGTAAGATCACGAGGGAAGATAAAAGTAGTAGGACACAGCCTTGAGGAACTCCAATATTTAAGTACTAGTTTAAGAAGAGGGAGCTTGCAAAAACCAAGGAAGAGGCACCAAAGAAATTAAAAGAGATATATGTTTCATAGAGAAGGTGCTCAACAGTGTGGAATGCTACTGAGAATCTAAATAAGATGAAGAAAGAAAAGCTTCTATTGAATTTAGCAGCATAAAAGTTGGTGAGAACTCTATTAATAAGAACTGACTTCAGAATCAAGAAACAACAACAAAAAAATCAAGATAAATCCAAATAACAATTTGATTCCCCCCCCCCCCCACACACACACACACAACCAAAGGTCTGGAGATGAACTACTACAGGCACTAGTTGGCAGCTGCATGTTGGAGCTGCTATGATTCCCTTGGACTTTCTCTGATGACTGCATGATGGGTCCCATTACTCTGGACTCGTGTAAAAGGTGGTAGGGAGGGGGTTGGAAGCAAAGTTGTGGAGCCCATAGCATATGTCCCTTTATTAAGAATAGAAGAGCTTTCCAGGGCACTTGGGTGGCTTAGTCAGTTAAGCATCTGACTCTTGATCTTAGCTCAGGTCTTGATCTCAGGGTTGTGAGTTTGAGTCCTATCTCAGGCTCTATACCCCGCTTAAAGAAAAACTCAAAAGAAACTCTTATCCTCAGAATTCTTTTGTATCTCATCAGTCAGAACTATGTCACACAGTCACCCTGAACTGCAAGGGAAGCTCTGGGAAGATGAGAGTTTAATTTTTCTAGCCTCTGCAGAAAAAGTGAACAAGGGAAAAGGGCTGTGAATGAAGGGCTTTGTCAATCAAAAGTGCCTGCCACAGTGATCCTGTGGCAGTTTTAGTGGTGTGGTGAGAATAAAACCAAATTATATTGTAGACTGAAGAGTGAATTGGAGCCATACCTCCAGCATGTCCTCCTGTGTCATGTCATCTGCTTTGCATAATCTCTACTCAAAATGGATCTTAACTGCTCCTGTTCCACCAGTGGCTCCTGCATCTATGCTGGCCCCTGCAAATGCAGAGTGCAAATGCCCCTCCTAAAGAAGAGCTGCAGCTCCTGCTGCCCTATGGGCAGTGCCAAGTATGCCCAGGACTGCATCTGCAAGGAGGCATCAGACAAGTGCAGCTGCTGTGCCTGTTCCAGATGTAAATAGAGCAATATATACAAACCTGCAGTTTTATTTTGTTGTTGTTTAGTTTTTATTTCATAATCATAAATTTAGCTCTGCAATCCAGCTAGACTTGGAGGGGAGTAAGGAAAATATGGAACCCATAGAATTGTAGAGAGAGCACAAAGATGACACAATTTGACACAAGTCAAATTTATTAGATTTGTCCACATTCACCGATGGTGATTTTCTTGCTGGTCTGGCCAAAGACCACATGCGTGCATCCAATCACTTAGTCTTGGCAGTACAGATAAGAAACTGGGAACCATTTGTGTTGGGTCCAGCATTTGCCATGAACAAGATGCCAGAATCCCTGTGCTTTAGGATGAAATTCACATCATGGAATCTCTCCCCATAGATGGACTTGCTGCCAGTGCCATTTTGGCTGTGAAGTCACCTCCCTGGCACATAAATCCTGCAATAATCTTGTGAAAGCAGGAAATTTTATAATCAATTTCTTTTTCCCCAGTTTTCAGAGCATGAACGTTCTCAGCTATCTTAGGAACTTTGTCTACAAACAGCTCAAAGGAGATGCGGCCCAAGGGCTCATGATCCGAAGAACACAGTGGGGTTGAACATGGCTGGGCCGCAGGGTCAGCTGATAGATGGCAGCGTCTGCCCAAATTTGAAGTTTCAAAACATTTTTTCATAATACGCTGCCCTGCTTGCTACATTCCTGTTTCTAAATCACATGAATTCTAACAAAGTTGTTGACTTAAAAGAAAGTGAATTGGAGGAGAAGTAGCAAAACACAACAGATAGAAACATTCTCTGTTCATTTGGCTAGAAGTTTAGCTGCATGGAGGAGCAGAGCAGTGGGATGGTGTCTAGACCGGTATTTAAAGGCTAGATTTAAGGTCGCGCTTAACATGAAGTAGACTGTTTGTAAAATGACAGGAATAATGGTAGTGAAGAGAGGAGACCCTAATGATGCAAGGAGTCAAGAAGATGCAGAAAAAAGTCCAAAAAGCCCATGCCCATGGATTCCAACCTGTGTGATCTTTTCTTCCTGACCATCTATCTGCCTATGGTCTTTGGATTACTTAGCCACCCTCTACAACTGTGTCAGGTAATTCCTTGCAATAAACCCCTTAAGATGTCTGGTTCTGCTTCTCTGGTTAAATCCTGACATTGAATTTGATCCTAGAAAAGTCATTGAAAAGGCAGTATAGTAATGCACTGGTTTCTATTAAAGCAGAGAGGAGTTACACTTGACCTAAGGGGAATGAAGACTTCCAAAGTGAGATTTCACTTAAACTGAATTTTAAAGAATTATTAAAAATTGGGATGCCTGGGTGGCTCAGTTGGTTAAGCATCTGCATTCATCTCAGGTCATAATCTCAGGATTCTGGGATCCAGCTCCACAACGGGTTCCCTGCTCAACAGGGAGCCTGCTTCTTCCTCTCCTTCTGCTGCTCCCCCTGCTGTGTTCTCTCTCTTTCTCTCTCTCAAATAAATAAATAAATAAAAATCTTTTTAAAAAATAATTATTAAAAATTAGTAAAGTAAGGCAAGAATGGGAGCAGTGGAAAGCTAGTGAGCCAGCTCACTGGAAGAAACAAAATTTGTAGTGTATATACCTGGTGTATATACTCCCACCATGGCCAATATCAAGCTAACAACATTCTGATGTTACAAAATACAGAATTAGAAAAAAAAATGCACACAGTTCGCTTTTGCAAGTCCAACCACTAAGGAGAAGGTAAAGTGAGAACAGAATATACAACAAAAAAGTAAACACCAAACTTCTTTCTTCTACAATACACAATCATGGAAAAAATATCCAGTGGACACCCTTTCCCACACAGTTGTCATTGCAGTAAAAGAGTAAACTTCAGAAGCATGCCTACAGCGTTTGGCAGCTTGCCAATAATAAACACTACAATAATAAATTCAACTAAGAAATTTCTAAACATTGTCCTAAAGAATGTTAGTTCTTTAGTTATGATAATGTTAGTTGCCTAAGATCAATGACAAGTAAATGCAGAGATGTGATTCAAACCCTAGGCAGTGCAGAGAGAATACTCTTTCCACTATAAAATGCTTCCTCACTACCATATACTATTAAAAGATCTAAACCAAGAGACCACAGTGTGTAACACCAGGAAAATCCTTATACACTCCCTGTTAGTCTGGGATCCAATTTTTTAGAATTTCTGTAGTAAGATAAAAATATCCATTTGGTTTTGCAGTAATTTAAAAGCCAATCTCTAACCTATTTATCTATGTCTAATTGATTTGTTACAAAGATGCTAATGCCATTCAATGGGGAAAGAATAGTCCCTTCAACAAATGATGCTAGAACAACTGGATTCAAAAGTATGAAATTTGACCTGCCTCACATCATACAAAAAAAGTTAACTCAAAATGGGTTAATGACTTCAATATGAGAGCAAAAACCATAAAACTCCTAGAAGAAAACACAGGAGTAAATTGACATGATCCTGGATTCAGGAATGATTTCTCAGATATACCAACAAAACTTTGAATAACATAAATTGGACTTCATCAAAATCAAAAACTTTTATGCATCAAAGAACATCCTCAAAAAGATGGAAAGAAAATCTACAGAACAGGAGAAAATATTTGCAAATCATATATGTAGTGTCCAGAATATCAAGAATTCTCACAACCCAACAATAAAAAGACAAAAAAAAATCTGATTTCAAAATGCACAAAGGACTTGATTACACATTTATCTAAAGAAGATACACAAAGAGCCAACAAATACATGGAAAAAATGAACATCATTAACCACTAGGTAAATGCAAACCCAAACCATAATGAAGTGGGACGCCAGGGTGGCTCAATGATTGAGCATCTGCCTGTGGCTCAGGTCATGATCCCAAGGTCCTGGGATCAAGTCCCACGCTGGGCTCCTTGCAGGGAGCCTGCTTCTCCCTCTGCCTATGTCTCTGCCTCTCTCTCTCTCTCTCTGTCTCTCATGAATAAATGAAATCTTTAAAAAAAAAACCATAAGAACTACTTCATATGCCCCAGGACGTAGCTATAACTTTAAAAAATAGTAACTAAGTATTGGCGAATGTGTGAGAAACTAGAATTTTAAGAAATTGGTGATGAGGATATAAAATAGTTGAGCATTATGGAAAATAATTTAGTGATTCCTCAAAAAGTTTAACATAGAATTGCCACATGACCAAGCAATTCTACTCCTAAATACATTGCCCAAAAGAATTGAAAATGAGTACTCAAATACATGTTCATAGCAGCACTATTCACTTTAGCCAAAAGATGGAAATAGTACAAATGTCCATCAATAGATGAATGGATAAACAAATTGTAGTATAAACTACAATGAAATACTAATTAAGCCACAAAAAGAAATGTGCACCAACATATGGTACAATGTAGGTAAACTTCAAAAATATTGTTAAGTAAAAGAAAGTAGACACAAAAGGTCACATATTGTATGATTCCATTTATATGAAATACCCAGAATAGGTAAATCCATAAAGACAGGATGAATGTTGGTGGTTGCCAGGGCCTGGGATGGGGTAAATGGGGAGTAATAGCTTCATGATGATGAGCTTTCCTTTTAGGGTGATGAACATGTTTTGGAACTAGATAGAGGTGGTAGTTGCACACCACTGTGAATGTACTAAATACCATTAAATGGTTAATTTGACATTTCATGAATCTCAATTTAAAAACAAGAAAAGGCCCAAAACCAAAGACACCATTAAAAAGGATAATTACAGACCAATATCCCTGATGAACATGGATACCAAAATAGGATCCGACAGTACTAGCCAATAGGATCCAACAGTACATTAAAAGGATTATTCACCATAACCAAGTGGGAAATATTCCTGGGATGTAAGGGTAGTTTAACATTTGTAAATCAGGGATCCCTGGGTGGCGCAGCGGTTTGGTGCCTGCCTTTGGCCCAGGGCGCGATCCTGTAGACCCGGGATCGAATCCCAAGTCAGGCTCCCAGTGCATGGAGCCTGCTTCTCCCTCTGCCTGTGTCTCTGCCTCTCTCTCTCTCTCTCTCTTTCTCTCTCTCTCTCTCTCTCTCTCTCTGTGACTATCATAAATAAATAAAAATTGAAAAAAAATTTGTAAATCAATTGACGTGATTAATAAAAGAAAAGACAAGAAATATAAGATCCTCTCAATAAATGCAGAGAAAGCATTTGAGAAAATACAGCACCCTTTCCCGATTAAAACTCTTCAAAGTGTAGGGATAGAGGGAATATATAACTCAATATCATAAAAGCCATCTACAAAAAGCCCACAGAGAATATCATTCTCAATGGAAGAAAAACTGAGATTTTTTCCCCCTAAGGTCAGGAACACAACAGGAATGCCCACTCTGACCACAGTTGTTCAATGTAGTACTAGAGGTCCTAGCCTCAGCAATCAGACAACAAAAAGAAATAAAAGCATTCAAATTGGCAAAAAGAAGTCAAAATCTCCCTCTTCTCAGATGACATGGTATTATATACAGAAAACTGAAAACACTCCATCCCAAGATTACTAGAACTCATTCAGCAATTCAGCAATGTGGCAGGATACAAAATCAATGCACAGAAATCAGTTACATTTCTATACACTAACAATGAGACTGAAGAAAGAGAAATTAAGGATTTGATCCCATTTACAACTGCACCCAAAACCATAGGTACCTAAGGAATAAACCTAACCAAAGAGATAAAGGATCTGTACTCTAAAAACTACAGAACACTTATGAAAGAAATTAAGGAAGACACAAAGAGATGGAAAAACATTTCACACTCATGGATTGAAAGAATAAATATTGTGGAAATGTCTATGCCAACCCAGAGCAACTTACACATTCAATCTCTATTAAAATACTATGGACTTTCTTCACAGAGTTGGAACAAATAATCCTAAGATTTGTGTGGAACCAGAAAAGACCCCAAATATCCAAAGGAATGTTGAAGAAGAAAACTAAAACTGGGGGTATCACAAGCCTGACTTCAGGCTGTATTACAAAGCTG